GATAGAAATTGATAAATAGTTGAAGGTTCCAGCTCCCCAGTCTTAGTACCAAGGTTAATGTGAATGCAAAAATAAACAAAACCAACCTTGAAAGATAAAAACATATCCCTTTTATGTTGTGTTAGCCTACATCACAGTACAACTACAGAACACATTTTGGGGAGGGGGTTTCTCCGAGGTCAGCCTACCTTGACAGCAGTGCAGCATTTGTCCCAGATCTCAGTGGAGGACTGCACATAGTGGTCGGTGAGGGGCTCCCAGATGCTGATGGGCTGCTCTGCGGTGCTCTCCACCCGGCCTGCCCGGGTCACCAGAGCCGCCCTCACACTGGCACTGCCCACATCCACCCCCACATAGTACACCTCTGCCATGAGGACAGCAGCTGCATGCAGAGAGGGGGGAGAGCAGAGGACCCCAGGGTTGATTATTAACCAGGTTACATTGTCAAAGTCAACAATAAATGGACGGTTTCGAAATAGATATAAGCACAGATATCAACGCATACAGAGTACATTACTGTTAAATATGTATGTTTCTGATAATCAGAAACTGACAACTTGATCTGATATCGCTGCAGCAACAGAGACTTTCTACCAATCATTTGCACAGATCTGTGCAAATGATTGGTAAGTTATTCGAATAACTTCTCAATGCACACAACAGAATATGTAAAACAGATGTGACGTTTTTATAACACCACGAACACAACTCTGAACTTACCGGAGGATTAAAATGTCATTTCAGCGAAGAAGACACTACTTTCGAGTTTCTGAAAACCGTACTTTGTGCTGGAATCTGTGGCTGCGACGGAAAGCGAAAAAGACCAAAAAGAGCACATTCGATTTTGCGATGAGCCATATCACTGAGCCGTGTAAAGTCCGAATCACATCACGTAACCGCCCTGGTGTATGGTCGATTATAATAATAGTAATTATTATGCCGTTATAGTCTTCATGTCCTTCCCTCGATATGTTTTGTTTGTGTAGTCCAACTGGGGCAACAAATGGATTAATCACAAACATTTTAAAGCACTTCCTACAACTTTTCTCTGACATTTTCTGCAACAGATTCCATGCTTAAGTTGCAGAACACACACATGACCATTTAGAAAGCATAGGGAAGTCCTGAGTAAGCGAAGAGTTTTGTCTGGCACTTTTCTAATATTCTGCGGGATAATGGTAGCAGACCAATACTTTCCGAAAAGGTGCATCTGGCGACCAGAGCAGGCCATTCTACCTTAGTGTGTATTCTCAGGGCCTCAAAAGGGCTTTGTTGCCAAAGGGCATAGACCAGGGCTATTCAATTGGCGGCCCGCGGGCCAAATCCGGCCCCGGGGTGATATTTACTGGCCCTTTGAGTATAATGTTAAAAAGTAATCAATTTTTTTTTTTTAAGATTTTTTTTTCTTTTTTTTTTTGTGCCATAGTGCCTTTATTCCAGAGAGGGTGTTACATTGAGAGATAGAGGGGTAGACAATGCCTGAAAACTTCGACGGGCTCGGGTTTCGAACCCACCTACTATACTGTAGTGACAACTCCTGTCATTGATTGCATCTCTGCGTGAATGATTAGATCATTTCACCTAAATGAAATCAAATGAAACATGTAGGCCTACTGAGTTCTGAACTTGCCATTTAGATCTATAAAGGCGTTGGGGCTATGTTGTTTGATTGAATTAAACACAATATATGCACTCCACTATGCTGTTGGAGTATTTACTGTATCTGAAGCTCTTAAATATGATTGCTCATATTTCAAGCCATCTTTTTCCCGGCCCCTTGCTTTGGATCATTTTCATCAACCGGCCCCCATTCCAAACTAATTGAATAGCCCTGGCATAGACATTAACCTGCCATCAAAAACATTGGCTTTGACCAAGAATTGTCAAACTTTCCCGTCTGGTCACTTTCCCCTATTATGTTTTTGTTGAGGAGATCAACAGCTGTCTAAAGGAAGTGTTGCTGGCTGTGATCAGCGTGTTTTGACCTGGAATCATCAGCAGAGATGGTGTACAGAGGAAAACCAAGCAGCGGGACAGGAAGAAACAGATGGTCTTCAACAAACACTGTGCGGACAGTGTTTGAAATCTGTCTCTCTGTGTGTGTGTGTCTCTGCTCCACGCCAATAGTACATCAACACATGCATATATAGTCTTTCTCTGTGTTTTTGCTCTCATGAAAAGGTGGGGATGTTACCATGGACCCTGACTGTCCCACCTCATTACAACAAAAGCAGGCCTGTTGGGAGGCAGGCAGGACAAACTACTGATTAGAAAGCTGCATGCAGTGGAAACAGCTGGCCCGGGCAGGGAGGAGGAAACGCTGTTATCTAAAAGCGACCCCATCAGGCCAGCAGAAGGGAAAAAACTGACCGAGAAACAGGAAGGATAGCCGGGACACAGCCAGGACACAGCAGGGGAACAGCGGTGCTTTGATAGGGAAATAGTCCTCAGTGGGCCTATAACACATGTTCAGAGAGACACAGAGCGGGTGCAGATAGTTATTGTTATATTGGAAGCTGCCCTGTATGTAGGAGTATAAAGGCCAGGCATTAGGGAAGTGAATGAGAGGAGATTTTTGTTTGGAATGTCCAGAATAAAGTCAGACTTTCAGTTTAGGTGCTAATGCTATAGTTTCACATCTCCAATTTATTCTCAGCGTCTTGACTTTATTCTGGACATTTCAACTTTCTTCTGAATATCTCGAATTTCTATGACATTTCGACTTTATTCTCGACATTTCGACCTTGTTCTCAACTATCAACTTTTTTCTGGACATCTTGACTTCATTCACAACTCATCCTTTTTTTCAGCATCTTAACTTCATTCACAACATTTCAACTATGTTCCTGAAATTGTATTTCAACTTCATTCTCAAAATTCAAAAACATTATTTCTCTTTTAACAATTTTCTAAACATTTGGACTTTGTTCTGAAAAAGGTTTTTGAACTCATGATTTTGGCTTTATTCCTGGAAATGCACCCCCCTATAAAAGAACATCATCCTTAATTTACTTAGTTCATGCCTGGCAGTGGCAAACATACTGAAAGCCCCAAAAATATACAAATATTTACTCCTCATTTTTTCTCTCTTATGCCTGGCCCTTATACTCCTCCGTAGATCTGTCATGTTACAAGAAGAGAGTAGAAGAAAGAAAATATGTAGGCCTTGTTTCTTTGCCTTCATTACTGCTGTGGTATTTGACACAAAAGTTTCTGAAGCATTCCAGCTCTGGATTTCTACTCCAGGGTGTCAAATACTTCCAAATGGGTGTTGCACAGCCGTGTTGTGAGGACAGCATGTCATCTGGAGAGCGTTGACCTCAGCCAGCTCTGGTTCTCCCAGGCTGTCTGGGGCTGTTAACTTATTTATAGTTGGCTTGAGGAGAACATGTTGAATAATACAATGGGGGGGAGGCCAGACAGACTGGACTGCAGCTGTAGAGACCTTCAGTCATTAGTGTAGCTTCACGTTAACCTATGAGATTCAACCACAGAATTATTCATATATATTTTCTGCACAGGAAGGCTATGATGCAGCTTTAATAAGTATAGTATAGCAAAGATCAAATGGACCTTAAACACAAGCGGTTTTTTTTTGTAATTAAAGCTAATATCATGATATTTTTTATAAACAACAAATGCAATTAGTTTAATTGATCCATTCATTCAAAGCTTTTAACACTTTAAAATGATATTTAAAAGCAATCATAAATGTACATAACTCTTTGTTACAATAATCATGACAAAATTATAAACCACCACCAACTCATTAGGTCAAGTATTCACTTCACTCACTATAACCTTTTAGATGTAATGATGTTTTTTCCACTTGAATTAAAGCAGTGACTCCTAGTGACTTGTAATCATAGTGGACTGTATTATATCGGTCTTACCTCTAGAATACTTATTTTAATGTGAAAAAATTGCTTTCAGTTTTTGTGCTACACACTTTACAACACCATAAAATCTTAACACGATTGTATCTTGGTCATTTTAAAACCATGATCATAAACTACTACGCTATTGAATGTAGGCTATCTGTTTAATGTGTGTTCTGTTTTCAATGTGTTGTTACCTGGTTAATTGTTATTGTCTCTACATAATAGAAAATGATGCATTCCCTACATTTTTCCTCAAATTCTAAATAAAGATTGATTGAATTTGGCTAAATATTTAGACCTGTAAACAAATATGAATTAATCTCCTTACAGTGGTAAATGATACCACGACATGATATAATACAGTACAGTTTACAGGAGCAGTTCAGTTTACATAGGTTATGGAGTGTATGTTAGTTGATTTTATATATATATATTTCTGTATACTGTGCGTTTGTTTAGTGTATTGAGAGGTACTGAAAAGATTGTCATATTTCTTATAGGCTACATGTAAAATTGGACAAATAAAGTTAATTGTGCTTTCTTAACACAGATCATCCTCCAAGCCTTAAGGATAGATATATTTTAATAAATGCGTTGTTAAAACAACAAAAGAGCTCTTGTTGCAGGTGTGACCTAATTTTCTTTCTTCCATCCCTAACCCCTAACTACTTTAACAGCCAACAGCACTCATTTTTAATTCATAACTAGATTTAGCTATAGCCTGTATAGACAATGGACTTTGATACGGAATTTACCCTTTTTCTTATCTAATGATTTGTAGAATTTGACGTTTCTTATCAGAAACATATGATATAGGAACATGGATTTGCTGTTGTGTGTTTTTCAAGGTAAAGCCCTCACTTCACGATGCTGGGTAACTAATAATTGAGCGGGTAACTAAATATTCAAAAGCACTACGTAATCCCAGAGTACATTGCTCCACCGACTGCATTACCTAATCCCAGAAGCCACCGCGGGGGGCGGGGATATGGCTAGTTGTCAGAGCAACCTGCATGTCATTAGACATACCCCACCCACATTACCGTCTCCAGCCAATCAGAGGCCGTAGAAATGACATCATTGTTATTTTCAGTAGAGCTGCAGCTTAGAGGTGGATAAAGTTCGTCTCCACGTTGGAAGTGATAGAAAGTATTATCCCTATTCAGGATCGTTTGTGCTTATTGGGAAGGAGAAACAATCAAAGCGGATATTTTCAGGTGTGAAAACACGGAAGGCTCGAGCGGGGGAACAACCCTTTTTGTTGTTGAGAGCGCGGCTCACGAGAGGAAAGTTTTCTCAGGACACGAAGTTGTCAAAGTGAGTTGAACTTCAACAATAGGCGGACACTATCACAAGACAGTCGAGAGATAGGGAGTCACAGGACACATGTGAACAGTCGACTGTTATTTAAAAGGAGAATAGACCTCCCTTCAGTTGTTTACATTTAGAAACTTTATGTCAAGGAAAATGGAAGCGACGTTCTACGACGAAGCAGTGAATGCCTCCAGCTCCCACCATGACGGGCCCACGGTGTATGGCTTCAACCCCAAAACCCTGAAACAGACCATGACGCTAAACCTGAACGACCCGAAAAACTTCAAGCCCCAGCTGAGCGCCAAGGCCCTGGACATCCTGACGTCCCCGGACGTGGGCTTACTGAAGCTGGCCTCGCCTGAACTGGAGAGACTGATCATACAGTCTTGCACCGGGCTCACTACTCCCACCCCGACTCAGTTCGTATGTTCCAAGAACATCACTGACGAGCAGGAGGGGTTCGCGGAGGGGTTTGTGAGAGCACTGGCTGAGCTCCACTACCACCAGCAGCCCCCCGCCGGACACCCTGACGCTCAGACCGGCGCTAATAACAGCATGGTGTCCGGCTCTGCTGCGTCCGAGAGCGGCGGGGTTCCCTACAGCTGCACGGTGCGCAGCGACCCACCAGAGTACACAAATTTAGGGGCTTTCGGCCGGTCTGTGGGCTCTGCGTCTGCACCTGCTTCCAGCGAGAGGCACCCCCCTGTAAGTTACCCGTCCCACAACCACATGGACCACCACCGGGCGGCGGCGCGGCTCTCCGCACTCAAAGAGGAGCCGCAGACGGTGCCCGAGATGTCCGGCGACACCCCGCCGCTCTCCCCCATCAACATGGAGAACCAGGAGCGCATCAAAGCGGAGAGGAAGCGCATGAGGAACAGGGTGGCCGCGTCCAAGTGCCGGAAAAGGAAGCTGGAGAGAATCTCCCGGCTGGAGGACAGGGTGAAAAACCTGAAGAACCAAAACACGGAGTTGGTTTCCTCTGCTAACGTGCTCCGGGACGAGCTGGCTCTGCTCAAGCAAAAGGTCATGGACCACGTCAACAGCGGCTGCCAGCTTATTCTGACGCAGCAGCTCCAAGCGTACTAGACTGCCAAGGGAAAAATATCCAAGGGACATTTCTTGGGGACCAAATGCAGCTTAGAGTGGCCTCAGCTCATTTCTCCAACACATTTTCCACTCAGGCTGAATCCACTAAGTTTCTGCAGACTATACAGACTGACAATTGTTGTGAATGGTCAGTGCGATCATGAATTACTACAGAGCAAATACGGACAGAGCTTATACTCTGATGTGACTTGTTAGATATTTCTGTCATTTTTTTAATTTTTTCACTCAAAACTACATGATATTTGTATTCAGTCAAGCCAAGGTAACGTGGCAATACTTTAAGCTCATTTTAAATGTTTTAAGTCCCATGCACAGACACCCAGAGGCTGTTTTTCGTTCAAACTGCAGATGGACAATGTGAACGAATTGTCGCCTGTCAAGTAGCAGCTTATCGAGTCAAGCACTGAGCATCCCACCAGCGACTTTACATTATGTACAGAGTAACACTAACACAAACATGTCCCACACCTTTTCGCAAGGACTCTAATAGGTGTGTGTAGCGTCAACTGAAAAACTGCCTTACTTTCTTAACCTTTATGTTCATACAACTTTGTGATATAGGTGTAACTAATGTTAGACCCGAAATAACACTTTGTAATAATATTTGTACGCTGTCTTTTGAGCACTTCAGAAATGTAAATAGGACGAAATAAAATGTTGGACACGCGTGATGTGTGTTATCTGAATAATTTACTCTTCAATAGTGTGTTAATGCATTTACATGAGGTGTTTGTTATTGAAGGAACTGGGGCGGACGGGATATTGAGTCACCAGTGCACTGTGTAATGGCTGGTGAAGCTACTCGGCCGCTGATTGGACGGTGAGGTGTCGGAAGTGAGCAGCAGGAGGCCATATATGGCAAGAGGACTTCACAATGCGCACTGGGACGGGTGACTCACCGTCCTACCGCTACAGCTGCCGAGGACCCTAAGCATAAGCACAATTGTTTACAAGCTCTAGTAGTATTACGAGGAACACAAGTCTTTTAACGCAAGGAATATTCTCAATTTTTAAACTACTTGTACAAAAATGAGATTTATTTATTTTCTGCACTGTAGTTGAGTTACAAAATAAGGTTTTAGTAGAAAAGAAAAGGTACAAATGTATATACAACCTGAACTAGATGCTGCCCACTAACATGGCAATGAGACATCTTCAAGTGCACTGAAATAACAAAAAAAATCTAGCTTCATCTGCATACACATTGTGGACCAACACTGATGGATGCACACAGACCTTTAAACCAGACACCAGTAAATGCTTTAGGAATACTTTAAAGACATTTAAAAAAAAAAAAAGTGTATTCATGAGGGGCGAGTGTTATGACAAAAAGGTCAACAAATATTAGTAAACATGCTCCATGGAAAATGAATTGTGGAAGATGTTATAGACGACACATTAGGAGCACCCAGGGGACATTTTCTGTTTCACAACTGAGAACAGTACGATAGAATTAAACTATTTTTTAAATAAAATAAAATAAAATAAACATTGAATGGGTCCAGAAAACCAGTCTCCTATTCATTTCCTATGGAGTGACTATAGACTTTATCCTTGATGACATCATCCACCTGATGACATCACCAGGCTTGAGATGTACCTCTCTGGTTTCTGGCTTTGAGAAAGTAGCTCATGTTGATGAATATTAATACCATTTTCCTTGGCTTTAGAAAAAAGAAAAATTGTAAATTTAAATCTATGCAGTATTCCCCTTTAAGAGCCCCACACACCCACAATGAACCTACCCAGGTGTTTTCACTTATGTCTTGATTAGACCTCTCCAATAATCCTGTGCTGACAGCGCTTGATTGACATACCTGTTGCAAGGCGGAACAATTTAAATTTGCATCGTTCCAATTGGTGCATCGAGTCAGGGGACCTCACCTTACTCCCATTAAAGCGCTGTCTCCCGCTTTAACCTGAGTTGAGGCCTAATCAGCCAAAACAAGTGAAAACAGCTGCGTGTAATGTACAGGGTGATATATATTTTTTTTAATGTTTTTACCTGATGTACACAAAGCTTGAGTGTTCTTTGTTTGAAAGGACATATTCTAACGGTAGTTGTAGGCCTGTCATGATAATTATGTTATCGTCGACATATTATTAAACAAACAATATATGTTTAAGACCTCAATAATATTACCGTTATGGGCTTGTCGTAAGATATTCTGACATTAGTTTGATCATTTTTGCCAATTCTTTGATATTGCCGGTATTGTTTACATGCACGTTTGTTTTCAATAACGCAGACATTGCTCATTAGGTCTATTTTACGTAGTACGTGGTTGAGCGTTTTTTGTTTAATATTCTTTCATTTATTCATAATATTTAAATATTTGTTCACCTTCTGATGCCTGAATATACTTAAATTGTTTTTGGCTTTCGGAAGCATTATGTTATTATATTATTATATCAGTGGCATGAATTATTCAGTTATATCAGTTTTGGGAATTATTTCCGGGAAAATATATCATCCAACAAAGTATTTATCGTGACAGGCCTATGTTGTGGTGCTCCAAGTCATTAACACTGCTTGTAGCCGATGGAAGATCCTACATTTTCCACAGAATCAGTTTCTCACTATAAAACCGTTTCAAATGATGGTTAACTGCCAATATGGCTGGAAGAACAAAGGAAAAATAATTTGCCAGACCAAATCTGTGTCCACTGTCCAACAGGTTTTGTTTCATCTTGCTCGAATCGCGCTTCATCCCTTTGTGCAACAGGGATGTGATTTTCCAGGTATTGTACAAAAAATGACACAATGTTTCCCATCCATTTCCATGATGGGATTCAATGTGTTTGGTTCCTGATGACACCCACAGTTCACACACAGTCCTGTCAGAGGCTCTCAGCAGACCAGCAGGCCCTCCTTGGCGGCGAGGCGCTGCCGGTGGACATGGTCCTGCTCTAGTTCCTCGTGGCTCGGGTGCCAGAGCCGCGACAGGATGCGCTCCATGTTCAGGGCGTACATGGTGTGGGAGGGCATCACACCGTGGTGAACCTGCATCAGAAAAGAGTTTCAGGAGGACATTTAAGCATACACACCTCTGATGGTCACTTGGGCATGCCAGAAAAATCAGCGATCATAGCAGTGTCTGCGCATGTCCAATGAAAATCTTTCATAGGGTGTTTCTCAATGTCGAGGAAAGCTGCTCCAGAGCCACTATTTCAAGGATACTACGTCAGCGAGTCCCGCCGAAGGACTGTTCCAATGTCCAGGATACTTGGAATTCTACCGGGGCCGGCGTACTTCGTTGCGGGAAATTTCGAGGCTGCACATGTGTAGACTCATGGATGTATAATAAGGTGTAGACTCCGGTCTTAAAATCCCCACAATGCTTTGCGCACGGACCAACTTCCAAATCTTTGGCAAAAATCGCGCTCCATTTAAGGAGGGGCCTCGCACACCTGTTAGCCTGTTCCACAATTCTTCATTTTCCGAGGCTAGGAAGGATTCTTGCCTCGCTTCTGAAGCATCTGACTCGGAGGTACATGTGCTACCAAGCAAGCCTCCTCGACATTGAGAAACACCCATAATCTCTCAAAACCAAAGCACATACCTATTTTTAAAACTATGTATATTGGTATTTAGTAGTGTTGTTGAAGTATTCAGGTCTACATTTTAATATAAAGAATTCTACATAAATATGTAAAGCAACTGCCCTCTACTGGTTGAAACCATGCTATTGCAATTACATTTAGCAATTGGCTGTTCTGTCCTCAACCAACCCTTCCTCCCCGCCCCCTCCTCTACAATCTGAAGGCTTGTTCGAGAAGAGTCAGGCTGGTAGTCCCGCCTTCCTCTGACATCATTCACACACGGTGGACTATAACCTGACATGAAGGTTTAGTCTGATAACAAATATTTATAGTAGGAGGTTGATAATAAAAGGTTATTTTAAAAGCATTTAAAATGAGCAATTACTAATTGGAGCTTACTAATAATGCAGCTATGGCCATAGGTTGAAAATATATGCTCATTTGAATATAAAAAATGCTTTGATAAGTTTCCTTTTGGTTGTTTCAATACTAAGTGCTAAATCTGTTAAAGATGCTAGGACCAGTATCATACATGAGCATATGTCCCTTACAGGAATGTCACAAGAAGATTTGACACCTCAGTACGGTTTCCACAGGTATTGTGAGGCCTGGAGACAGACGGTGGCCCAAAAATATAATGAACATTTGAAATGTCCTTCTGTAAAATTTAGTTTTGGGTTGAGAATACAGACATTATTTTCACAGCAACACAACAAATATTTTAACTTTCTAAGTAGAACCACTATGCAAACCATTATAAAGAAATACATAGGAATCATCACTTTATTTTAGTTTTTTTTAACGTGGTAACAAATTGGTATTGTGAATCTCAAGAAAATGTCACCGTTATCGCTATTGACAACTAAATATCTGGTATCCTGACATCCCCTGTGTCTCTTACCTGTAAAGCCTCGAGGAGATCAAACATGTTGATTGGAGGGAGGGGCGCGGGGAAATTGTCAGCAGAACAAGCCAATAAGTGAACAGCTTGTTGCTCGGCGTCATCAGGTGACACCTGAGGGGGCGGGCCAGCAGGGAGGGAAGCACTTGGAGGGGGACTGGAGAAAAAAAAAGAGAAATCAATATGGACTGACAATGTGAGCAGTATTATTTCTAACTCTTGTATTGAACCTGCACATTGCTTATCAGCTAGCGAGAGCGAACACAGTGGTCCCTACCATTCAGTGACGCTGTGGTAAGCAGCGAGGCTGTTCTTTAAATATGGCTGCGGCGTGACATCACTCCCGAAGGCGTAGGGGAAGCGTCCGTCTCGTAGCCTGTACGCCTTCCTCCGGGTGATGACAGCAGTCAGGACGTCTTTCAAGTGGTGCTGAAATAAATCAGAGCAGAAGGTCAAGCTTTGCTAAATCTCCTGGGTTAACAGAGGTGTCAATAAATATATATGCCTCCATCTATTTGAAGCATCTGCAGTAGGGTGGTCCTTAGTGCCATGTACATTTTCGAATTCATTTATTTTAAGCTCCAACCACCGGAATTCGTTATGATAGTCAAGAAAACTCTCCTGGTGAATTTTATTCTAATTCCAACAACATTTACCCCTCCCTCATCAACCTAGAAGTGTAGCCTCACGTAGGGTGGTCCTTAAAATTGAGTCGGAAAGTCTAAGCTCCAACCCCCAGAATTCATTCTATTAGTCAAGAAAACTCTCCTGGTGAATTTCCTCAATCTGACAACATGTATTGCAAAATAAGGATCTGTGGCGGACACGTGTATATATATATTTTTTTTGCAGGAAGGTTAGTCTCGAGATGTTAACACCACTTTTATAATAGTTGAAGCGTAAATACAATAGCTATAAGTAAAAAGCTGACGCTGACTATTAAGAAACTAATGCAAATAGCTGTGCGTTACCATTGCTAAGCTAAAGTCGGCGTAATGACGGTTAGTATTGTCATTTAGTCACTTGCAGTCAACTGCTGTTTTTATGATTCATAGAATCTTCTAGATTCAGGAGTGGGGGATTTACTGACGTAGATAAAAATGTGATAATCTCATAAGCTTGTATTTACTACATACCTTGTTTCAGGAATCTAACCAAAAATCAGTGATATCGAGACGAGGTAACTGGAAAATAATTAAACTAATTCTCTGGTTTTAGGACTTATTCCTGTACCACGCTTTTACTATTTTGGGTATTAAGTGCCTGTTATGTTTCTCTGCTACACATTGCGGATCCAGTGTGGAGATCAGTCTCCTGGGATCAACACCCTGATGTTGGGGTTTTCTCTGGCTGAATTGAAGCATACTGCTTCTGGTCATATCTTACACATTGCACCTTTCACAGGAGCAGACAGTTGATACAAACCTCGACAGCGTGGGTCATGCTGCTGACGGCGTCTTCTGTGATGTTGTCCAGGCCCAGCTCGAAGGCCGTCACCATCATGCGGGCCTCCAGCTGGCCCCGCGTGGGCAGCAGCAGGGTGTGGGCACTGAGGCGCAGCTCCTCCTCCTCACCCCCCACCTCGCGGGGGCTGAATGGCTGGGCGGCGCTCAGGGGGTTCTGAGGCTGGAAGCGATGCTGAGGGCGCAATCAACAGACACAGAGATCAAAATGATACAATAAGAATGCACCTACTGATTGATTAAATGCCACTAGTGTATAAAATAAACATTATTTAAGCAGTCACCATCTGACAATAAGTACTTACATCAAATTTCTGTCTGGAGGAACATTTCTTCTTTCCTTTTGGTTTCCCAGGCTTTGAAGCAGAGCCACCTTGCCATTGTAACGGCCCTGCGCCCTCTAGTGGACATTAAAAGGAACAAAAGAAGCAAAAAGAAACAGCAGATTACATCTAAAACAATGGGTCCCTTTAGACACATTTAGACAACATCGATATCCCTTAACAGGCTTGTATACATTTAACACCCAACAATGTGCTTATTTGCAGTGGGTGGGCAAAACATGTCTTTCATCAAATGCTATTTCACACACTTTGCTATTCCATCACTAAACAAATTAACTTAACCACTTTTTATTATCTCAAAGTGTACGATAATGCAGTACCTAAGGTATTGAAGTAAATGTAAAACATAAACTTGGCTAGTTAATGTACAAAAGATTGTGCTAGTACAAGTTTAAAAAAATTAATCTTTGACATGTAATATAATCAGAACTCTTGTGCAGTTTCAGAGAGTTATACCCGGCCTTGCTGCCGTAGACCCGTGTATGTGTGGTCACCACCTGGTCCAGGCAATTTGCAATTTTGTTATTGTTTTTATTTGATTTGATCTTAAATCTACTTGGTCATTTACTGTATTCATTTGGTTGTATCTGTCATATATCCATATCCTTAGACCATCTCATTAATTACTCACATTTTTACTCATTTAGTCTTGTGTCCATGTAGCACTCGACTTGATACTGTAAAATACTTGAGAAACCTATCTCTGCGCCTCATGGACTTACACATTTTTAAATTGTATAAATATATAAATTACAATTGCTACTACTGTTACTGTGCACCAATGATTAAAATTATATTTCATATCTATTTTTTAGATTTCTCTTTTATCCCTTTTTTAAAAATTAATTGTGTTAATTACCGCTTACATCACCCTCCCTGTTGTGGATGTGTATGTGGGTTTGGGGGTAAGGGCTGAGTGAGTGTTTGTACTGATTTGTAATACAATGCAAAATCTGAATAAAAATATATAAAAAAAAAAAAAACGTACCAGGTGTGGAGACGATGATCTGGCAGCGTGTGAGGATGGCCAGGAGAAAATCGTTGTGAATATGGACTGCAGAGGAAGGAAAATACAATGTAAGCCATTCAGATAGCTTAAACTTTTTTATATTCAAAATATAGGCCATAAATATTTGTTGCGCTTACTAACCATTCTCCTGAGCCAGCAGACGACGTGCCTCAATGTCAAACTCCTCTTTGCTGATCTTTTGTTTGAACCAAAGCTTCAGGTTCGCCCAGTAACTGCGAGGAGAGGCAACAAAGACAACATCAATAAAAACATCTTACTCTAAGAGCTAAGGTTCATTTACAGTATTCCTTTAATTTCATAAAAAATGTTAATGTCAGAACAGAGTAAATAAAAAATACAAATCACTATTAAATACCCTAATTTAATTATAAAGACAATTGTTTTGTATTGTTTTGTATTATTACACGTTTTCTGAAATGCTGTTTGAATCAACTTATGTGATCATTTGCATACATTTTCTGAAAAGAAAATCTAAACATTTGATAAAGCCAGATTAATTTTGTTTGATATATTAGAGTCAAATTTATTTTACAGAAGGAATTTGGATATATCTCAGAAAAATACCGTCAACAGGCATTAAAAGAAAAATAATTGCATTCAAAAAAGATATTACATTTTCCAAGGCACTACAGGTGAAAAACGTTAAAATATTTATCTAATGAATTATACCACGACACTTCCCCAGTTCATCACATTGAGGAATGTTTTGTGCTACAATATTTTATTAAATATTTTTGTTTAAATATGCAAACGAGGCATTATCTAATGCCCACTTGTGGTGTATTTAGGAGAAATCTACAAAGTTGAATTGATGCCAATTCATGATACACAAGCAGTATTCATACAAACCTACAACTTAAGTTCTTTGCATTTCTTCCTCCTGGGAGCACATATTAAATAAAGGTATAATAATACTAGTGGCTTAATGATAACTGTTGCTTAGCAGACAGGCTGCAAACACTAGCAAGCTGCTAGTTTCCACATAGCTATTAGCTAGCGTTAATGGCAAATTACTTCAGATTTCAGCAGCAAAGCAAGAAGGAAAAGATACAAAAACAAACACCAAATACAGAAAAACACGCAGATATAACGGTTTACTCACTGCTTGACATTATCGCCAATTGCATCAGTTAAATTCTTCTTTGCAATCTCGAGCTCGCTAGCATGAGCTGCCATGGCGTCCATAAACAGGCCTACATGGACGTCATCAGGCGGCGACAGCGGCTTCCCTTTTTTTTTATCTCCAAACTTTATTGAAGTATGTCATTTTTTGAAGAACAGGACGTAAACAAGTTCATTTATTTACCAAATTGCGTTTGTTAAACACCAAATACATTCACATAAGTAAGCTAAGATAAAAAAAAGAAAAGTGGATAGAATAATCAATAGATTCACGATATTAATTTTCCTCTAATATTCTGTAATTGATAAAGAATGCTAAATAATACATTTCGAACAACATTTCCATACTTTTTTTTACTGACAATGCCAAAGAAGATGGGGCAAGGTTTGAGGTAGAGCTCGGCAAAAAGTAGGCTACAATATTTAGAGCATCATTACATGAGAAAATGCTTTGCAGGGTAAAACATTTTATCATTTTAGGAAACTTCTCTATTTGTATTTAAGACAATCACCGATATTGTATTAAAAGTATATGTTTAGCAAGTTACTCTAAAATAATGGCATAAAAGCTTTGTGGCAACCTCAAGCCGGAGCAGCTCAGTTATAAATGTTCCCACAGGTGGGTCAATATCACTATAAAGTAACTTTGGTGTCCCCATCAGAATCACTCAGTTATCATGAAAATGTAGCAGAATAATGAAACTCTGAGGTCTTATTATAAATGGCCAAACATTTACACACATATCATTACAATGATAAGTCTCTTGAAATGTGTTTCCTTCATTTTATACCTTATTTTTTCATTGGATGTACGTGATTTTGGCATGTCCCACACACTGCTCTGCTAACTACAGTGTGTGTAATAAGTGGTTAAATGATACTACATTAAAAAAAAAAGTATATGGTTTTATTGTCCACAACGGGTTATTTGATAAAAGGAGTCATTTTGATCATGTATATTCTATTTTCATAATAATATTGAATTATGCATGTATGAAATGATGGAAAACTGGCCATGTCCACCCTGCCAGCAAGCCTTCCATGACAGGGTGGACATGGTACAAATAGTTTGCCATAATTTCATTATTATCCAAATACTTTTTCCATTAACTGAAATATATTGTTGAGAAAGGGACTATAGCTTTCTGAAAATGTACATTTTATAATCACTATGTAATTACAATGTATTTACTCTTTGAATTGTGTCCATGACAGGTTGGATACATTTTGCTGTTTGCATGTACTTGCAGTTAATTTATAAAAAGTGTGGGAGCTTAACCAACATCTATTTCTAACAGCATAATGTATACTTAATACAATGAATATGAAGTTCAATGGAAAAGCTCAGCTTGATATGTAAAACCCTTTCACAAAATCAGAGAAATGGCCCCCATTTCCAGAGCAAATTATAGAAACTGGAAAAAAAAAACAACTATTGATTATTGCCAATTGAAATTAGATGTGAATTAATTCGAATTCATAAGACAAACTTCTAGGAAGACATGTCCCTTACCTTGCACCAAAGGCATGTTTCTGTCAAACCAGAAATCCTACATAATTAATGTTATCATTACATTTACCTGGCAATTCGATATATATAATATATAACTTATTTAATCATAAACTTGAACAGAATGTCAGCAAGTGTTTTTAATCAATGAAAAAGTATGGCTAATCTCCTGTTCTGCTTTACAGTGGTATGGATAGGTAGTAATACTACTCCACCACTAGATGGTATCATAGTACGGTTTAAATCCTGCAAGGTCCAGTCCATTGACATCTTGTGACAGTAGAACTGAGTAAAAGGAGGAACTCGACCATAGAAACTGGACATATTTTATCAAAGTGTCACCAAACTTAACTTTAGCAAGGTCAAGGTGCATTTGAACCAACATGTAGTGCAATAAGAAGTTCCATTGCCAGGAAGAAATGACTTGACTATTGCAAGCAGTTCAGGATGAGTTTTTACGGCAGCCCCAATTTCTTTTGGATTGTGAAAGCTTTATTAAAAAAAGATGATATAAACTGAGAATGTAACATGGGCTCATTAGAGAGGATGAGAAGTACAGCAGGGTAGACGTGCAACACTTATCAATTCCAAGAATGCTCTGGGGATGCACTATTAAGAACATTGTATGAAATTACCTTTATTGTGTTTGTCCATAGTAGTTTAATAATTTCCATGACCTCCTTCCAACAAATCACACTGCCATAATAGTTTTAATGAAATTGGAAAAAGCTTTCATTCAATTAGAAGGAAGTATCCCATCCAATTATACTAACAAAGCTGCAAACGATGTTACTTCATGGTAATGAGGAGCAGATTGTACTGCTGTAAGTGTTTTTTATTATTGTTCACTGGACTGGATGTAAAACATTTCTGTGGTTCCTTCTGTTGTGCTCTGTGGCTTTTTGGCTCATGCCCCCTGTTGAACCCGTTGAGGCTATGAGGCCCTTTTTGTTTTTCACTGTTTTAACGTGTAAAAACAGTTGAGCCGTCAAAGCAGTCGCGCCTTTGGCACTGTTGCTCCAGGTGGTCCTGAAGCCTTAAACAGACCTCGATGACTCTAGCCATTTATCACAATAAGTGAAATCTTATGAATCATACAGCTAACAGTCATGCAGACTATTAGTGTGTCCTCCAATCCACTGACTAATGTTGACTCCGCAGTGTTCTGAGGTCATATGTCTGTAAGAGATCCATTAGAATGATAAAGGGTTTCAAGGTTTGAGTCTAGAATAAACAAGCTTTCCATGCCAACCGCATGAACAATGAAAACCATCTGAATTTTCTGGTCACTAATAGATGTATTTAACAGATCTGTTACCTGGCAGCTGAAACTGGAGCTCACATCTCGTGGCTGAAATGCTCTGTTGTTTGTTATCTGTGGGATGTGATTGGTGCGTATTACCTTCCTACTGTTTAAAAGAAAGGCATTCAAATGAATCAAAAATGACTCTATCTCAATGCTTGCTTGTACCTTTCACAGCTAAATTAAACATCCCTCTGCTGTATATTTTAGACTAATAGGAGAGTGGAAACTGTAGCTCAGTGAGACTTCCCAGAACCCTCCAAGTGATCATCCATCTTAAACAAGTGTCTGTTAAGCTTTAAATCAAAAGGGCACTTAGGAACGGACTTAGCTATGGAGTTGTTTAACTGTCCCAGTTAGGGCAAAACATTTGTCACAGTGCTTATTTTCAAAGAAAACAGCTCCACTTCCTGTCTGTTGATTTGCTGCTTGACGCTCACTGAACTTCTTGGGGCTAATGAGTCACTCTCACGGACATTCCCCACACAGCATGTCTTTCAGCAAATAGCAGCAGAGCCAGCTTCTTCCACAAATCTTCCGATCCTGGTGCCACCTCGGTGGTGGAACTCGTAGACAGCGATGCTTCACTCAGTGACAAAGAGGGCTTTCACCTCTGAAACATGCAGCGGTTCTCCGAGGACCACACTGCACGAACACTCGGCCATCCCCAGTCTGTTAGCCCAGTATTTGAGGTGGTATACAGGCCTGAGTGTGGTCCCCCTTACCAGAGCCAGGGATGTCACCTTCCCTGTACCAACGTCTGAATGCCCAGTGGTTTGGTTTTTGTGGGATAATCATGCATTTCCATACCCCCAAGAGGCTATTTAAAATGTAAGAGTTCAGTGTTTGTTGGGCAGAGTTATTGGAAGACTTCAGTTACAGCTCCTGTGGTGATGGAGCATCCCACAGTAAGTCTCTTGGTTGGATATAGTCTCGACGTCTGAAAGGCAGAGTTGGGACAGGAAGGTGTTGGAGTTAAAGAACAAGTACACTAACTGTTCAATAAAACTCTTTGGCATGGGCTCAGATTGTTGAAGACAGAGTTTGAGCCTGCACTTGACATTTTCAGCTGTGTTTGTGGCCTGTTAGGGATAATTGTTGTCTTACTTGATCTGATTTATTCTTAAGTTCATAATTTGACAATGTGTTTGTTTTCCTTCTTTACCAGAGGGAGAAGAAAATACCAGTAGGCCTTCCAGTCTTGTGTGTTGGCTACGCTAAATGTGAAGCTAGGCCCAGGCCGTTAGCTTGTGTTAGCATCAAGAAAACGAAAACACGGAGAAAGAGCTATACTGAATCTACTCAAGTAAAAAAATACCAGCCAGTACATATCAAGGTCACTAATTAACACGTTATCTAGTTTGTTGAATCGCGAGTTGTGGTTTCCGAGGTTTTATGTGTTGCTGTTTTTCCTGGCGTATAGCGACTGGGCACAGTAACATAGGTCTGAAGTTTCAGCACTTAACCACTTGTAAAACCACAACTTGATGTTTTTTTGTATTTTCTGTATGAATAAAACATGCAAGATATAAAATGTTTAATAGGGAGTTTTGAAACTTAGGACAGAGCCAAGCTAGCTTTGTCTGCTGCAGTCTTTATGCTAACGCTGGCTAACTACCTGCTGGCTCTATATTCATCTATTCAAGTCTGAGTCTCGAGACAACTTTTTTAAACGTTTTGACTGATCTGATGACATTGTGCTTTGTTTGATAGTGGACCAAGAAAAATACACAGTGAAAAAGAGTTTTGTAGTTCAGTTTGAGGGCCAGAATTAAATTGATCCAGACATGCAATACGTTTGACAAACATTATACAAATTGTATAATGTCAGAGTTTTTTTGCCGTCCGTGAGGAAAAGAAATGTGGCTCAGAGCCTCAGAATACTGAAATCTGTATTTGTTGTCATCGTTTTTTCCTTCTAATTTGTTATTATTTGGTGCAGGCACGAAACATACTACCAATAGAAATACATTGCTTCTAAAATCGTTCTGTGTCAGAATACTGAAATTTGTATTTTTTTTTATCTGTTTTTCCTTCTAATTTGTTATTATTTACATTGCTTTTAAAATCGTTCTGTGTGACACGAAAAAAATTACAAAATCGTGTTGGTGAACACGAATCAAAAGATAAATATTGTGACTATAACACGAAATGCCGTGAGACTGTGTTGTCTGTACAGCTTCAGTTTGAATCTGCTAAAAAAACAAAATGTTATCTGCATGACTCTCACAAGATAAGTTTGAAAGGGGCAGGAAATCTGAACAAAGATTACAAATGACCAAATCAAGAGCTAAGTACGACTTGGTTAACAGTATGAATCAGCATGTCACATGAGAAGAGTTCTTCTGAATCCAAATGAGGAAGAATGTCCCTTCAAGTGATGCTAAAGTTCTATGCTACAACTGTTATTGTTATATTGTTAAGGTGAGTCATATAGTGACTGTTCATAAACATGTTTCCATGTCCAGTCTCATTTCTTTGTGTTTTGTTGCTTTATAAAAGTTTGTTGAAGAGATGGGTGTGAGGGCTATTGTGGTCACTAAGAAGAAACACTCACAATATGAGGTTTCTATTTGTGTCTGAGACACCAAAGGCAATGCAGCTCCGTTGTTCAAAATAGACCCAACTGTTCAAAAAAAGGAAAATAAACCCCCAGCTCCCCTCTCCTTTGGGATGGTTCCCCTAAAAGGATGCCGCTTTCCTTCCACACCGGTGATTACAGAGTGCAGGCCCACTGACTTTAAAAGATATTTTACGAAAACATACAACTCAAGCACTTTTGTGTGGAAAGAATGTAAATGTCTCTGTATTTATAAGGAAGAGTGGGGGAATATAACTCGGAAATTTGGACTGATTCCATCCCAGTTCATCCCCTCCCTGCTCTCTTTTTCTTTTTTCATCGTGTCTGGTTTTCAGCAATGTGTTTCTCGTTGTCTGTCCCATTGCCTAACTTTCAACACGCTTGGTTGGCATATTTTTCGTGCTCAAAAACAACTCATCAACAAAACGCTATTCCATTTTTCTTTTTTTTCATCAACAATGATCATTTTTCCCAGAATCATACTGAAATTACATCAACAGCCAAATGAGAAAAACACATAACAGCAATTTCCATACGTGCAAGCTCACTTTAGGAATGATTGTCATTTATACAGTTAGGGAATTAGTTATTTTCTCTATAGGATCATTTACTGTTCCCTCAGGACACCTGGCCCTTTTCCCTGTTATGATAAGTTAATTGTACACATAAATGATCATTTCTGGTCATCTGCACTTGGACAAAGTAGTTTAACATAGAGTATTAAGGTTGTTTTAAGTGTAGGGAGAAAAAAATTAAACCAGGCTGTTTTTGTAATCAAGTGTATACAAAAAGATGTATTTAAACCACATTCCTTCTCAATCTCTTTAAGGTGCTGGCCTTTTTTAGATTTGGAAGTGGATACAGAGTATACATATCTGTATTAACAAGATGTATTTTCCAGCTCCCAGCAACTATAGCACAAGTTATATACCATGTATGAGTGTTCCCTCCACATGTTTATCTTGGCAAGGTAGGAAAAGCTGCTTTTAGATCCTGTGAGGCTAAAGCTTATGAATTAAATCAATATCAAGGTTCTGTAAGGATGTGGCACCTCGTCTCCACGGGGTGACCCAGTAATGAGGAAAACACTGCAGTCTCATAAACAGATAGACAGATTGCATTATTTGGCTGTACATCTTCCGAAATTATACTTAATTTGCCTGCACCAACATATTTGTTGGTAAAAGTAGCAGTATGGCTTACTATAAATAGAAATGCCCCCTAAATCCCTCTTTTTGTGCATCTATTACCATATATAAGTGAACAGTCCATGTCTGTTACAGAAGGCAGTTCAAGTCACTACTGATGATTGGTTGTCTCCATTGGGGAAGTTCTTTTATCTAGGATGAACCAGTTGCTGATGACTTATCCAGTCACAATGTTTCTCCCTGGCCTCCACAGTTGCCCCTGGTTCAGCCTTGCTTCAAATATCTCCTCAGTCTATGGGCCTGATCAGCATACGGACAGCCTTCATAGAGTAGAAGCCTCCACCATAGTCGGCCCAGAAAATCCCATCTTGGAATTTGCTGCGGTAAACGCCTCCGGTGTACCAGACACCGTTCAGATTGGCTTGACCGCAAGCGTTGTACCACCAGCCTCCTTTATGGAAATGGGCACAGTTACCTGTAGAAGGGAAACAGGAAGGTTAATGACAGTGTTCTTTTATAAAACATCTACATATTGTTGGTTTCTATTTTGCCTTTTCAAGATAGAGCGACCAGATCTCTGGTGCTTCTAACTTGTAGATGTTAGCATGTAACGTTTGCTGGTTTTCAGTGTTTGCTAGCGAAGGCTACTCTTGCTACAAGTGCTGACATGCTCAAAATAATGGACAAAGAAGTGGAAGATGTGATTTTGTGCAATTTGCCCGGTGATAATCACTTTCAATTTTCATTTGGGAATGCATATTAATTGCATCATAAAGCATTATGGGATTTGTGGGACTGATGCCATATTTTATTTGTCTTTGATCTACGATGACCCCGTTCGAGAAATCTCGATTTCAAGAATGTGTAATGGGTATTTATTAAGAGACTTTGAAGGTGTTTTACTTTTTACCAATATATAATGTTTGCTAGATTAGATGTGAAAACTAGGTACAATTTCAATAAATAATCATAATGCATTTTAAAGTTCATCTACCTGAGTAGGCGTCCTTGTCTCGATCCAGAGTAGTGAACTGTTTGCCGTTGTCGCTGCTCATGGAGTCCCCGGCGTTGCCCTGGTAGGTGCCCAGTCGCAGACGGTATCCCTCGCTCTCAGGTTCTAGATGGAAGCTGCTGTACTGAGCGTACACCTTCTTGTCCATCCAGTCCTCCAGCTCCACAAGCAGCTTGTAGTCCCCCTGCCTCCCCAGGTTGTAGATGCCCTCCAGGCCGAGCCAGTATTCCCCGTCTATGTTGCCAAAGCCGCTCTGAATCAAAGGAAAATTAAAAGGAGGGTTAGAGAAAGATCACAGGAAATAACGAGCATTGTTTTTCATGTGGTAGCCTGAGGAGTTTAGAAACATGAGAATTGTTTGGGAAGATAAAACCCCCTTGTGAATAAGGCTGTGGGATTGTAACAGAACAAACAAGAGTTTTCTTTTTGATGACGTTCGGGTTGTGGTTCTGTAGTTAAGACAAACTACAAAGCTTCAAAAGGAAAAAGCTGTTGCAAAAGATTATCACCCTGTCTTTGAAATGATTAAAAAGACATGTTGTAGAGTGTAGGCAGCAAAATAAGCATCCATCCTCAAAATGCTGGTTCATCACTTAAACCCAACAGAGCTCTTAGATCACGGCTGCTGGCGAAAATGGCCTTGGCGCGTATGTTGAATAACAGCGAGCAATGTACATCTGGCCATGTGCCTGAAGAACACTTCACTTGGTAGAGGAGGTTGAGGTTTGGGATTGGGGATTAGCTTGGTGAGCCAGCAGATGATGAACGATGTAGGGTTTCAGTCCAGGGCCTCCTCTCTGGTGCTGTGTGTGTGCACTTGTGGTGGCTTTTTGAAAGAGCACAGAGGCAAATCAATGTTGAAGAGAGCAATTTAGCTTCCAGTTACACATGCACGAGCCTGGCGAGGTTGAATGGAACACTGGATTGCTGAGGCTGCCAGCCACGATATACTCCATCTTATTCTCACATAGCTTTGATGAGAGGGTCTATATGTTGCGCAAGCCAACCAGCTATTCATCCAGGAAGGCTCCATAGTAGTAGCGGTTTGGAAAGCAACCTCTGCAGTTTGAGCTACGGAACATACCTTCCTAGTGGGCCATCTAATGTTTCATAATGGGAATCTCAAACCAGATAACCCTCCACGAATACTGTTGCTGACGGGGCGTTATATTTTACAGTTAGTGAAAACACAAGGAATATGGCCTAGGAAATAGTCCAGACCCCAGATGGTTCCGCTACATGGGTCATATACTGTAACAGCCCCCATGTTGTCTTTAGATGACCCAAATATTGAAGTTGGCTCAGGAGAGAAGACAGAAAAATAAGACAGACAGGGTGGGGGAAGTGTCATATGTCAACACCTTGTAGCTATCCCAGTTCCTGAAGAAGTTAATGGAGCCGTCTCGCCTGCTCTGGATAACGGTCCAGCCGCCGTTGTCGATGTCCTGTTCACACCAAGCCTGCACTGGCCTTTCTGCTTCGTCTGGTCTGATCAGGTACATGCCGCTGGTGCTGTGGCCAGCTTCCTGCGCGTCGAGACAGTCTCTGAAAGGACCTGAAGGAAAGGACAAAAGAGAGAGGTGGGCATCTAGCCGTGGCTATTTAGCTTTTAGCAGGACTATATCTGGTTTCATTTTTTTTCCATTTTGATTACATTTAGCTACTACGTTCATGTGGCAAAACTCAGTTTGATGTTAAAGTTTCAAAGGAGATTTTTCAATGCCCATTTTTTTTTTCTGACAGCCTATTATTTTGAAACCTCAGAAGTCAGAAAAAATATGCAATTGGAAAAGGCCCATTGTTCTGACAGTCTGTTTTCCTTCAAATAAGTGGCCAGTTCTAAAAAAAACACACAAGAACAGATGGCTAATTATTATGCAGAAGACGTCATTTGACCTTACAGACTTTATTTTTTCTTAGGGCAAAAGCATTACCCGCCTCACTCTGCTTTTGATTGGCTAGAATTTGTTGCCTTTGTAGGTTTCGTTGGTTATGTTTAGGCAGGAGAAGTGAGTTTTAGGGTTTAGGGTTAAACGCAATATAAATATTAAAACATGTATCAAAGAGTCTGATTCAGGTTAAAACTCAGTTTTGGTTTGTATGACAATTTTACTCTGTTGTTTCAGAACATGATTAAGAGACATTTAAGTTGAAGTCTGACAGAGGGTTGAACTTTTAGGGAATATGGTAAACAAGAATAAAATCACACAAACAAAGAGTAATCAAAAACACATTTATCCAGCAAAGATGTTTACCGTGTTCTTAAGGAACAGTGGTAGGGTCAGGCAAATAAAATGACTTTATAAGATATGACTTGCCCCATTTGTGGTATGAAAACAAAACAGGAACAACTTAATAGATACTTTGTACAACCACTGTGACTAACTGCATTTTTCCAAAGTAATTCAACATTCTCATTAGCATAGCATTTTTACTAATAGCCTATGAAGCAATGAGTTTATTTAAAGGGGGAGCAACCCTCTCCAGGCTAATGGTAAAATAATAATGTAAAGGTTTAGTCCATTCATCCCATAAAGTATAGCAGAAGTGCCTCTACTTTGTGGTTTTTGAGGGGTCTATACATCAGCCTGGGTTTTGTCTACATCTCACATGCAATGGAACAGTCTTGTAAGGGATCGTTTTCGTACACAGCTGTACTGAAATCCTACACACTTTATTATTCTTGGGCGAGGGCAATCTAAATGTGTCAGGAATTTACTGTTGATGAGCAAAATCGCACTGGTTAGGTCTTTCTTTGCTTTGCTTTAAGTCCCCTGCCTCAGTTGAGACGTTACAACATTTTTATTTCCATCCTGGTTTGTGTTCTTTCTGTTGAGCCGGCAGCAGAGTTCCAGCTGAATGTGCAAATCTCTGACCTTTGAAAATTGAAAACATGCAGCTGTTTTCAAACTTAGGGATTCATATTTTGTCACGGCTGGCCTCCAAAGTCATGACTGCTTTACATTTAACCATGACTTGCATTACATTTTCACGTTTTAAACAATGAATACATTATTGAAATGTAATGGATGGATTGGTGGATTCTTCTCTCACTTACCTTCAGCACTGAAGTTTCCAGGTGAAGGTTTCTGAACTTCCAGGGTGCCGCTCGTGGGTGACGGCCCAGAGCGAGAGCCCCTTTCTCGGGCAAAGCCTCGGTTGTTGTCCCTCTGGATCTCATTGGTGAAACGTGGCACACTAACAGGAATGTTCTCAGGCACCACCTGCACAAGTGGAGGTCCCAAGGGTGTCTGGTCATGCCTGCGGCTGTACACCTGCATGCATCGCTCCTCAAGTGCCCCAATCAGCACTGACTGGTTGTTCACTACAGCAGACAGGGCTGCGTATTTGGACTCCAGCTCTTTGTACCGGGATGCCAGGCGCAGTGACTCTGAGGTGGCATTGAGGATGCGCGTCTCCAGCTGCGCCAGCTCCAGCGAGTTGTCCCTCTTCCTGATGATCTCGTGAAGCAGCTGCATGTACAGCTGGGTCACTCTGGAGTTCATGTTCCTGCTCTCTTTCCTCAACAGCTTCATTTCATTCACCAAGTTGCCGTCCACATCCACCACCAGCTTCAAAGTTTCCGTCTCCCTACGCTGCTTCGACATGAGGTCCCGCACTCCAGCCACATCCAGGCGTGTCACTCGATCCTTGTCGGTAGAGTAACCGCGGGCGGCACATATGGGTCCTGTGATCTTCTGCTCAGGAACCAGGAAGGTGTAGGAGCACTTCTTGCTTTCCCCATTGGCCTCTGGAGCCCTTCGTATCCGGGACAGGATGGGGTTCTTTGTGAGGGCTTGGCTGTTGCCGCAAAACGACAGACCAACCAGAATAAATACGCTCCATGATCCAGACCCCATGGTTCCTTCTCTCTTTACCACCAAGTAGCTTAAGATCTATAAAAAATAAAAAAGTTTGGACCATTTTACATGAAAGTTGGTGCACCCATGTCCCCCCTTAATGAATGTTAATAATTGTCATCCTGCATGATCATCGGGTCAAAATATGTCAAATACATTGGTTTAAAACAAAAAAAACTGCCCACAATGACCATGTAGACCATGTAGACCTTGTCCTCAGCATGTGTGAACATGTAAGCAAACTGATGTAAGCGTTTAGCTTACTTATTTAGCATTACACATGTTAACATTGCCATTGTGAACAGGTTAGCATAACGATGTTAGCATTTAGCCAACTTATTAAGCAATAGAGTGCCACAGTGACGCGTCCTAAAACCCGGAAGTAAGTTAGCATTTTACCACTTCCGGTTCCTTCGACAAAAACCAATGCAATTTCTCCATAGGATTTTGGAAAATAGCTCGAAATATCGATCATAAATCTATCGATTAGATTTATGATTCGAAAATTATAAAAGTAGGGTAGACATGTGGATATTATCCGGCTGAACAAAACGTGATCTGTCTCTTCAATTTGTGTCAACCACAGACCTTATTTCGAGCTATTTTCCAAAATTCTATGGAGAAATTGCATTGGTTTTTGTCGAAGGAACCGGAAGAAGTTTACTTCCGGGTTTTAGGACGCGTCACTGTGGCACTCTATATAGGCCTACATGTTAACATTGCTAATAGCCGCTTTCACACCGAGTACTTTGCCGTGCTTAGTTCCCAGCACTTAGTTCCCCCATGGAACTAAAGAGCAGATCGCGTTCACACCGGAATAAGTCCCTGAGGGAAGATTACGCAAAGGAAGCAGCTGACGTCACTTCTTCTTCTTCTGCTTTGGGTTTACTGGCAGGCCGCAAACAACTTCACGGCGCATACTGCCACCCGAAGTCCCCGGCCGGAAGTCCCCGGAGTTGGGGACTGGCTTCAGTAGAAATCACCGGGTAAATCGCCAGAACGCCGACACCTCCTCATCACTCCACCGCTCCCATGTTATTTTTGGGTTGCCATAAGTTAGTCTCTCTCCGTTGGTGCGCTGGGCTAATGCTAATGCTAATAATGCTAATGCCAGCAAATACAATGGCGGCTTCACAAAACTTTTCAGAGTTTTACGGGGCGTGGTGTGCAATTCGTCCAGCCAATCAGAAATTGGAACTTTTTTCTCCCCAGGAAAGTACCACCTCTCTAGCAGGGACTGAAAAGGGGGGAAAAGTTCTCATGAACTAAGTTCTCTATATGGTGTGAACGCAAAATCCCAAGAACTATCGGAACCAAAAGGGAAAAGTACGGGGAAAAGTACTCCGGTGTGAAAGCGCCTATTAGGCCAAAAAGGCCTATTAGGCGCTTTCACACTGGAGTACTTTTCCCCGTATAGTTCCGATAGTTCTTGAAATTTTGCGTTCACACCAAAAGAATCCGGAACTAGAACTTAGTTCATGAGAACCTTTTCACCCCCTTTTTAGTCCCTGCTAGAGAGCAGGTACTTTCATGGGAGAAAAAGGTTCCTATTTCTGATTGGCTGGGCGAATTGCAAACCACGCCCGTAAAACTCCGAAAAGTTTTATGAAGCCGCCATTTTATTTGCTGGCATTAGTATTATTAGCATTAGCATTAGCCCAGCGCACCAACGGAGAGAGACTAACTTATGGCAACACAAAAAAAAACATGGGAGCGGTGGAGTGATGAGGAGGTGTCGGCGTTCTGGCGATTTACTCGGGGACCTCCGGCCGGAGACTTCGGGTGGCAGTATACGCCGTGAAGTTGTTTGCGGCCTGTCAGTAAACCCAAAGCAGAAGAAGAAGAAGTGACGTCAGCGGCTTCATTTGCCTAATCCTCCCTCAGGGACTTATTCCGGTGTGAACGCGATCTGCTACTAAGTGGGAACTAAGTACGGCAAAGTACTTGGTGTGAAAGCGCCTATAGTGAAAATGTTAGCATACCGATGTTAGCCTTTAGCTAACTGATTGTGAACATTTCAGCATATAGCTACTGTATGTTTGTGTGTTTACTGTTTTACGATATCCCATGTGTTTAAGACATCTGAGGAGTGTCCTCCCTCTTTAGGTGAGAATTATCCCTTGAACTGCATAAATGCAGCCTAATAAACAGCTGATTTCTAATAACTAATAGTACTGTATTTTTTTTTCTTGACATTTCAAGTGGCCAGTTTCCAGGGCTGAATTTTAGTCCCAGTGCGCCCCTGGGTACAGAAGAGAGCTTCCACTCAAGACTCAACACAAGACTCTTGCCTAATTATAAAACGAATGAGCATACAACTGTGTAGTGAAAACTAGCAGACTTAGGCAAAGACACAGCTTACATATCAACTGCTCTGCCCCAGACAAGATGTGCCTTCTGGCACGCTTGTGGTCGAGTTAGAACAGTGCCACCCATCCACCACAAATCTGTTATCGTAACTCAGATTTTCAATACATTCCCTCATGGGTTGTCTTTCATTACAGCCCTTACCACATCTGTATCAGGTGTCTGGGTGTGGGCAAGTACTGGGATCTGTTTTTCATATTTCTGTAGATTTCCTGGCTCAGAATTTCTACAAACCTCCACTTTAGTCTTATAGTGTACCTGTGCTGACTGGTGTGGAACATTTGTTAAAAACCTCTTGATGGGGCCAAAGATTTAACTGAAAATTGAAATATTTGATACAGAATTGATTTAATATGGCCAGGGATTGCACGCTACCAGGATTTATGAGGTAGATCGGTAAATAGCTAAATGCTAGTGATGGTTAAAATGATGATTCACATGCTCTCTTTAATTTCTTCTTGGTTGGTACAAACAAAATGTTAAAATTGGATGAGGAATAAAAGAAGAAAATGTGTTAAAAGAGCAGTAGGAGTAGCAGGAATCCCTGATTTATGAGTAATGCTTTTCTGGAGTCTATTTTTGGAACGAAAGCTTTTGTTTTGATCTTATTGGTTTTGACAGCACAACAAATGCAGCAGGGGAGGGTGACGTTGGCAAATCCATGCTAAGTAAAATATCCCACCCTCCATATTCAATAGCGAGGCTTGGCTCTGGAAGTGAAGCCAACTTCAGGGTGATTTTGGACCAAATCCAACCAGAAGGCAGGATATGTCTGGTGGATATGGCTGAGGGGGTGAAGAAACCTTCATCCAACACCTCAGACAGGAACACAATGTGACGCACTTCATATCAGAGCTAATTAAAACTAATCTGTAGAGGAATTTATGCCAAAAAAAAAAAGTAGAATTAAATGAGTCCAAGACAGAGACAGCAGGGACTTTGAATAATTTCTCCAGTCTCCTCTTTAAATTTCTTGCACTGAAGAGTCCTAACCGCAGTTAATGGGAGAGATCCCAGAGCATTACTGCCGTGTTTAATCATTGTCATAAGAAAAAACATGCCTCGAGGGAAATCTATAACAAATAGTTTTTAGTACAGTGACTTATCCACTGAAAAAAAGTCTGAGCTAGCATACATTTTTTAAAGCTTAAAAGTTCAGCAGCATAAGAAAATGCCAGTTTAACATATGGAAGAAGCTGCAGATTGTTTAGTTTTGGATTATAAACCATCTGAGAGGAAAGGAAAAGGCACTTTAGGAAAAACTAGCCATGTGTCAGAACTCAAAAACACCTTGGCACTGTCAGTCCGTTAATATTACCCGGAGAGTACTTTTTCCTGTCTTTCCGTAATCACAGGTCACCCCCCTTCAATAGCTCGGCCTCAGCAATTGGCCCGTCTGCACGTCTCCATCCCCACAATATGAATCTCACAGCAGTGACAGTGTTTACACAAAGGCTCCTCAGCCAGGGATCTCTTCTGCAGTTTTTACCACCAGGTTGCCCTCATGTCGTTCACACCCTGCTGGTCTTCATCAAGTCGACCGCAGCAGACGTGTTTTTTTTGTTTACTTATTAAAAAGGGGTATATTCATCTTACTCGTCGCTCTGAGCCAGACCTGACCAAAACCCAGCTACCTCATCTGTATTAATGCAGTCCTTTCAATCAAGCAGGTCAAACTTTGCGGCGGCTGTTTTTTTTCCCAGCCCAGAGGAACACGGAGACACTGCCAATCGGCCCACTCACTCTAAGTGGTACCACTGAGCTCTCACTGCCTACCGCTAAGCCCCCCAATTAAAAGATTTATCTCACGTTAAAACCCTTCAAAATCACTTGGAACACAACATGTACTCCCCCCCCAATTTCCCTCCAACTTTATTTAACCATACATCAAAAAGCCCCAAATTTTCCAGTCTAACTTTGTTGTGGCTTTTGCTTCTGGCCAGCGGATTCTATGAACTGTGCCAATTAACCCACAACTTATTCTGATGGTGCCACTGATTGGGTCCGTCTGCTAGGAGACATGATGCACCAACAATGATGGTTAACAAACACCAGATGTATACAGAATTTAAAAAACAAATATAAGTTGACTTTAATTTAAACTAAAACTAATTCTTCCTGTATTAACTTTGCTAAAATGATTAAATTTAAAGGTTTTTCTCATAGTGATGACGTGGAAATATGCAGATTTAACAGTGTGAACAGTTTTCCAAAGCTTAAAAAAGATACAAAAGTTAATTTCCTAAGTAGCCTGATCACAGAAAAAAAAAATCTTACCTGTGTCAATGAGTTCAGTCCAGAAATTGCAGGTATTATACCCAGCCTTGGTGTCTCAGTTTTGATTCATACGCAGGTTCATGCTCTCCATTCTCCTCCTCTCACTCTCCGTCTGTCTTTGCTCTCATTTAGAATGAAGGCCTGCTACGGCACAGGCAAACACCGTCCACTAGGAGAACAGTGGAGGGTGGTCCGTGTACAGAAAGAGGGAGGCTGATGGTGTGACTTTCTCTGTAGTTGGAGCAGAGGGAAGGCTTGGCCCTGCCTTCTTCCTCTGAAGTTCGGAAAGAAAAAATAACTCCTCCTAATATAAAGTTTCACCACAAATAAATAACAGAACCGGATTGGCTGTGAATCAGCAAGAGTGGTGAAGACATTTCAAATCAGTCTAGCTGTCAGGCTTATAGGAGCTGATGAAATGCACATACATTTCTCTCTTCCACACACAGCCTTGTTCAACTACAATTTATCAAAGTCTACTTACTCGCAAAGCTGTTTCCCATCAGCTCTAATCTAATGACTGACTGATTCTGGCAATCCAGTAGTTTAAGCATATTCAATTTGCATGTGATTTCTCTTGTGTTTGCTCCATATATGGGGTGTCTCCTGTGGCAATGCGAGGGCTTTTTGGCAGCTGTGTTTATTTGGTTACGAGGACAATATGCAGAGGGGCTTTGCAGACAAAAAAAGAACGCCCTTCAGCTAAATGTTTTGGATTGAGGAGGAAGCTCAGGCTTTGATGCATGGGGATTCTCTGCGTGGGGAGATACTTCAGCATGTGGGAGGACAGATTTGCTTATGAGGACATCCATAATGTAGAAGTGTTATTGCCTGTGCATGGTACATGTATGAGAACATGTGTTTGTATGCGTGATTGGAAGCGTGTGTCTCCATGGTGGTCGGGTCTATATAGAGGTCGCATAATTTAAATAAATGATATGTAGAAGAACATGTGTTCGGAGGAAGCTGTTACTGAGGGAAGCTGAAAAATACATTTTGGGCTAATTCGATCCATGCCTGGAAATCTTTATCTGCAACCCATTTAACAAGCCTGTCTATTGTGTAGTCTAGAGCCGGTGTTCCCAACCTTTTTTCTTAAGGGACTCCTTTCACATCATTGAGTTAACTGACAACAACTGACCTAGTGACATAAGTAGTCGATATTTCACATCATAGAATATTCCATGCACAGTAAAAATAGTACAGAACAACTTACAAAAGAGCTATTTTTAGTCTGTATTTTCCTTCTCCATGGCACTTTTCCTGATGTTTATTTAGCTGTTTTTTAAAGTTCATATCTTAAATGATAATCTGAACTTTCCAAAGAATCCAAATTATTAAAAAAATATTCACAGACATGTATCAAATGCTGAGATCTAGGCTAAATGTATGTTTGAAAAAGTCCTACACCTCTAAAAATCTAGAAGGCCTTGCGCCCCTTGAAACTTTGGCAAGTCCTAATAGTTGGGATTCCAGAGTAAGGAACCAATGCAGTCTTTACATTACTTATGGACAAATTTGCTGATTCTCTTTTTATTTTAACCTAATGCTAACCATGTAAACAGGACTATGCTATATTAGTCCCCACATGTAACAGTGATATGTATTTCTGCAAGGTAATGTCTTTCTGCACTTCATTAGTGTACCATAAATGTTGACTAATGAGACAACATTTATTTTGGTATTTAGGGACTCATTATTTAGTATCGAATTTGACATTTGACTACAACTAACATAAACTAATAAAGTTACTCTGTCTCTCTCTCTGAGCCCCTCCTTGTGGCTAAACAAGTCTATTACCGCCTGCACCTTCACAGTTATTGCAGGTACACTGCTTTGCTCTTTGAAAGATATACTGACTTTATGCAGTAGAGGAAGAAATATTCAGACAGAAGTAAAAGTCCTGCATTCAGAACATCACTTGAGTGAAAGTAGGTCAGTATTATTAGAAAAATGTGTTTTAAGTATTAAATGTAGAAGTAGGCCTACTTATTACAGAAAAAAAGGTCCCAGTGTGTTTTCCAAATGTATGATGTTTTTGGAATGACATTACTGCTATACTGCGGGTGTTTTTAGCTAAAATCATCATATGTTTGTATTGTTGCTGTCTTGAGAGAATCACGTATTAACTTTATAAAGTCCAATTATGACTTTAATTAAATTATTAAAGAGTTTTCTGAGAGTTTCTCAGAAAACAGCCCTGTTTTTGGCTTAGTGACGATGCATTTTTCAGCTAATCCAAGAGGGTTTTCAATAGTTTATTTAATTTAAAAAGTAGGACAAGGTTCCCAACTCATAAAGGAACTCTAAATAGTTTTGTTTATTTGAGAAACTACAATTATATATCACCAAATCTGGAGATAGATTGTTTTCACAGGACAGAAAGGGTATGACAAATTGTTAGCTAAACAATAAATAAGTAACTAACGCTGTCAGATAAGTATAAAGTAGGCTATGCTGCCTAGGATGGTGTTGATGATGTCAGCATAGCATAAATGTAAAAAGGCCAAATGAAGAAGTTTACCTCAGATTAAGTACAGTACTTGAGTTACATTCCACCAATGTCTGTGAACATGTACAAAGAAGTACATGTTCACATATATAGATATATATATACAGTTAAGAGTCAAGTAAATACTGATTAAAACTGTATTAGCACGAATGAAAACACACGCTAACATATCCTGAAACAAGCTCCTCAAGAAGAAGAAGAAGAAGTGGAAGAATACCCCGGTGACGTCACGCGTATTGACCAATAGGAGCCGGTCGGGTCAACTTGTGACAGTTGGTACTAGTGTACTCGGCGGACAGCAGCAGCGACTGTAAACAAAACAGAAGATTTAATAACTTTAGTCGAATAGAAAGAAATGTTCATAAAGACGTCCTTCAATTTAAAATGTTGCTGAACGTCGTGTTACCGTAATTATTATAATAATTGTTTTAAGTTTCCTGTCGACTGTTTTCTTCTCAACCATGGTGAGTTTGACCCATAGACTGTATATATAAAGGTTTGACCCCGTCCCCTGCTGTTAAATGTTTCCAACGTGTTTACTGTTGTGAACCGAATGTGCCGTTGACAAACGCTTTTAGCCCATATACCGCCCCGTGGGAACATATTGCTTTTGTCCACTGTGCCCTACAGAGACCGGCAGGATTAGGTGGTTTAAATGGGCTTTACTTGTGTAGTGTTGCGGATAAAATTAGACTCTGGCAGCGTTAGAGATCCTGTGTCAGTGTGGATCTGTTGAGCCCCTAAGAAAGAAGCCTGAGAGACAACTGTCAGGGCAAACATTTCCTTCACAATTGTTTTTAATGTACACTAACGAGCCAAGTGCTGTAGCTAAGACCTTAGTTACAGTACTTGGCTCGTTAGTGTACATGTACGTGTAGGCTACATTGTGAGACATATTGTACACATGTTTATTTAGCTATTTCCATATCGCGCATTTATCTGACAGATTTAGTTATTTAGAATTTGCAGATTTATAAAAGGACAAACTAACCCTTGATGAAATTCAAGCTACCTGGCAGTAAAAAAAAGAATCCTTATTTACCAGGTGCAACATTAAAGTTAAAGTGATGAACACATTAAAGGTAGGGTAGGTAAGAATGGAGAAACCAGCAAGAGTGCGCTAGAATTTGAAAGTACACAACCGGAAAATATCTGCCCCTTCCTTCAGACTTCCTTACAGAGCCCCTCCTCCAACACACACGAACGCGCACATGACCAATGAGGGCACGAGATAAATTTGTGCTCGAGATGGAAGGCTGACAGGCAGGTAGGCCATCCAGTTATTTTAGCCGGGCCGGCTCAGATGATTGGTCGTGCTTTTTACATCGCCACGGCTTCCTCAGATGACATTTTTTAATGTATTTATTGTCAAAGCAAACTAATTGCGCCGCATAAGCGTATACAGTAGGCGTGATCTGGCTGTAGGGAGGGACGGCCCTGATAATATAACACATACAGTATCATTCTTAAATGGGCTGTTGCGCAGTATAAGTACTTTTACTATTTGTACATTAAGTATAATATGATCGTAGTAGCCTAGGCTACTTTTGTAGTTTTATTGAGGAAAGATGTTGAATGCAGGACTTCTCGTATTTATAGACTGGTATTAATACTTTTAATGAGATAAAAGATCTGAGTATTTGTACATAGATATTTTACACCCTTTACGATGTAGTAGCCTACTATTAAAAACTCCACTTTTAAATTACGGTTTCACCTAAATGTATTTTTTAAATATATAATATGTTTGTTTTTTCAGTAATTTGTCTGCATTTCGTCACTGCACTTATACCTTTGTAATGATTTGTGATGACCTAGTAGTTTCTGATCACCCGCCGCTCCATTGATTGCAGGATGCTGACGGCCCCCAGGCCCTGTGTGACCTCTGCTTGGCTAAGGTGTGCAGCAGCCTGGAGGCTCTGTGCAGCAGGAGAGCAGACGGCTCCCTTGGCCTCAGCTTGGCCCCGGTGTTCCCACAGGAGATGGCAGACCAGTTACTGCGCAAGATGGCGACTAAAGGTAGGTCAGGAGGATAGAAAAAGGATTTGACAACATCAATATCAACAACCGCTTCTAAGAAAGGAGAGAAGTTCTGTTACAAGTGGTAAAAAAGGGCGAAATGATCTTACTTCACCAAAATGTGATCTTCTGTCTTTTCAAGTAGTCGGAACACTAGGCAGTAAGGGATATAAGTGATCAAATATATAGAGAGATATTATTTCTGAGCTTCATAAGGATGTCGTATTTTTGAGTGTTATTGATATTATATTAAAGCTCCCATGTCATGCTTTTCCGGTTATTACCCGTCCCCTTGTGTGTTATGAAGGTTTTTATGCATGTAAACGGTGTGCAGAGTCAAAACCCTCAAAGTACACCCTGTAGCGAGTAAAACTCTAACACAGAAAATACCTCCCCAAAACGCCTCGTTGGAGATACGTCACTGCCCATTTGATTCTTCCGGGTACCGCCTGATGTCATGCGGTACCCGGAACGAAATGGACCAATCCCGAAGAGCTATGGCCACACCAGCAGCGGCGTGTTCCTCCAGAGGTTCGAAGAACCGGCATTTCACAGACGAAAGCTTCCAAAACATTGCCCAGTTTGAGGCCGGATATGCACAGCTTGTTTGGACCGTTTGGAGCAGGGGAAGATTCGGGTACACAACCTGTGAGTTTGCATTGTTATTTGTGTATTTATCAAACAAGGTAGCTACCACGACTGTTTAAATGTGTAAACATGTTTCGGACTGCTAAGCCAGTGCTAACTGTGCTAACTAAGTTGCTAGAGTTTAAATATATCAACTACAATGTCAGCAGATGGCCTTACATGTTTGTCATGGCAGGAGAATGTCTGCAGTCACACACACGGAATACTCATACAGTATACTCCGGGTGATTTACCGTACATTGTGACAGTACATGTATAGCTAACGAGGCTAGCTATGCATGTATAGCTAACGAGGCTAGCTATACATGCTAGCGGGAAACATTGTATGACCGAACGTAGCAGACTACCCGTAGAATAATGCAATTATAAACACGTTATTGCTAGCCTAATATGAACCACTAACTTTTGTTCATAGTAGTTTTATTACACTCCGTTCCTCCAAGCTAACGTTCATATCGTGTTAGCTACCAAGGTAAACAAAGCTAGGTTAGCATATTAGCAGGCAAGCTGTTCATTAGATATATCCACACTCCTACCACAACTACTACTAACGAATCTAAAACAACTAAGTTTCTCTAATATTTTGTGATTTGCATTTTATTTCGTCCAGACAGATCCTGCCGGACAATACATGACTGGACGACCACACTGAGGCATCGTCTCAAAAAGCCCCGGCTGCTATAGGCAAGATGCCGACAACGGGGAGTAATTGACGATATACCGTGTATATATGTATATTTACGTTCATTTTGTACATTTCTAAAAATAAAGTTTAATGGAAATACTTAGTAGGCCTATCCTTTCTTCCCTGAATTATTTGCACCTATAACATATCATTCATATATAGCAAACCATGATTTGATTTCTCATCAAACAGTAGTAGTTTATAACGGGTAAAAATAACTTACTCTTTGTTATGACCGGCTCGTAGGCCACAACGGAAAGACAAGGAGACATACACGAGTTTACAAAACCACGGCACATTTATTGTGGTAAATGCAGAGATAGGTGGTTGAGAGGATCGCAGAGTTCGTCTTCCTGCAGCCGTTTTGGAGAGAGACAGGGGCCGCCGTGTGACTCCGGGCAGCTGGGCTTAATAGCACCTCGGCTCCGGAGGTGTCCGTGATCGCGCTGATTAGCCTCTTCAGCTCCACCCCATCGTAAGACAAAGGCCCTGGGGCCGTCACACTCTTCTATAACAACAGTTAAAAATATATATGTATATAAAATATACGGCTGTACCGACGCCATGATAAGACTGATGTTCCGCTGAGAGCAGCCGGGAAAAGCACTGTTAGACATGGGCACAGCCTCTCTGGTGGTTGACTAATCAGAACAGAGTGGCCGAGCTGACCAATCGGAGCACACTAGGCTCACAGGGAGGGGGGGGGCAAGAGCTCCAACGAGTCGTTTAGTGGAGAGAGTGAATACTGCTGAATACACATGCTTGACAGAGATGCTGTATACGAAACCAATGTGAGTTTGGAAAATTGCACAGTATAAATCTATTTTAGTATACCTCAACAATGTAATTATGATCAGTGGAAATGGCCATGACATGGGCCCTTTAAGATTTTAGAAATGTATGTAAATGTCAAGTCTGTCAAAACACACATTTATATCAATGTCTGTTACGGTGGAAACCGGGACTTCTTCTCATTTTCAATTGAAATTATAATGCATACTTGAAGAAAACAGAGCACTGAGTGAGAAAAACTATATTTTTAAGTATTTATTTGTAATTTTTAACTATTATTAAAGTTTATAATGAGTTATTTTTATTACAAAAAAGAAGAATTGAAAATAAAATGGGATATGGGAAATGATTGACCCAATATCAAATACAATTTGCATAATATAAAAAATATATACAATTATTGAGAAATATATTTATATATATTTTTTAAATGTCATTTAGTTTGTTGTTAAAGTGGACCTATCATGCTATATTTGAATAATATAGTATAGGACCATACCTATATAAGGCATATTTTTAACCCTTTTTTCAAAATACCAAACAGATCATGCATTTTAGCCATGCCTCATTTCGCTCAATTTGACATTTTTTAGCTCTGTTTTTGCAAGGGCAGATTCAGTGAGAACAGCACCATCTACAGGCCTGGCATATGTACTACAGCGTCTCCAGCGCTTTCGAACGGCAATGGCCGTGGCTGTCTCCTCCTGATTGGTGGAGTTGGCCCAATAGCCGTAGCGCCACTGTCCTGACGTCAGGACAGTGTTCAAATCTGGATCAGTTTTTATCAGATCCGTTGCAGCCCCTTTTTTAGAGATTTGGGTATGGAGGAAAATAGAGAGGGTTGTGTTTTCTGACACTTGGTGAGTTCCCTGGAACACCGGGGACACATATTCATGTGTAAAAGACGTACAAAAGTGCATTTTGCATGATAGGTCCCCTTTAATGTTAAAAGAAAAGAACAAAAAAGAAATGTCCTCTGGATCTCAGGATTCTCCAGGCAAACAGCTTCCTGTATAGACTAAAGACCAATGTAATTTGAAAATAGCAGTATCCTTAAGCCACCCCATCATCATATGATTTATTAGTTTACAATGTACTATGCCAGGCTGAAATGATGGAAAAAGTGTATTCCATCAACACCAATGAGGCTGAACTGATGCTACTTTTTCCTACAAGGGATACTGAATGACACAACTGTTGGGATTTTCCAAAACTGCAAAGAGCTCCGCCTGCGCAGAGCATCAATCCGCCGCTGTACGGTGTCTGCAGAAGCTTTCCGCCTGGCCCTCTGCCCTCACAGGCTCCAGGAACTAGACTCCGCCTGGGCCTCCGGCGGCCTCACAGGGGCTAACATCGTCTCGGGCCTGGCCTCCAACCCGGAGTGCAGATCAAGCCTGCGGAGGTTGTGCCTCACTGGGCTACATGTGGACTGGGAGTCCCTGGTGGAGGATGGAGTTGGCTTCAGCTCCCTGCAGGGCTTGAGGACGCTCAATATGGCCAACACAGACCTGACTGATGCTGCCCTGGAGGATATCTGCTCTCTCCCTCAGCTGGAGAGCCTGGACATCTCCTGCAGCGCCGTGTCGAATCTTACTGCACTCCTCCGTTGCAAGAACACGCTGAGATCTTTCATCGGTCACAAGCTGCAGCAGCTGGATATGTCGCCTATCAGGTGTCTCTCTGTCCTCAGTCAACTTCACACCCTCAGGCATCTAGACTTTTCAGAGGACCACTTTGCTGTGGATGACAGTGACGGGAAAGACGGGGAGGAGATGGTGCGGCAGCTTCTGGAGGGGAGTGCTCAGGTCCTTCCTTCACTTGTATCCCTAGATATCTCTGGACGGAAGAGGACCAGTGAAGCATCAGTCAGAGCGTTTGTGGAGGCCAGAGGTGGACTGGTGTTCTTGGGCCTGCTAGCCACCGGGGCTAGCTCCTGTGAAATCCTGACTTCACAGAGAAACTTAAAAGTAAGGCGCTAGTGCTAGCATCGGTCATAGAGTTGACGTCGGAGCATGTTATGGGCAGACACTTAAGCTGGAGTCTCGCATATGTTTCTCATTATCCTTTGACTTGAGGCTGTTTGTATATGCCTGCTGCATTTCCTGTCTCTCTTTAAAATGCTGATGTGCTGCTGTGTATGTTCAGGTAACCGGAGAGGCAAATGAGAACCAGGTGTGCGAGGCCCTGCGGAGGTACAGAGACCGCGAGTGTTTCATACGAGAGGCCCTCCTCCACCTCTACAATCTAACCACTGACATTGACAAACCTCGGCCAGATATGCTAAAGGTACTACGCATATCATTGTGCTGGAACAATATCTTCAAAGCATAATTTTCTTTTTACAGATCAGACATTTTAATTTGAAAGTCTTTCTACCTCATTCTCCTTTGTAAAGAGGCTAGTATTTTCCATCTGTTCTTTTCAGCTAAATTGGAACAAACTGTACAGCTAAAGTTAAAATGTCCTCTGACCTGACGTAGTAATTACTGTATTTCAGTCGTGCTCGCAAAGAGGAGGTTGTGTCTAGTAAAATAGAACAATGCAGCATCACAGCTGTCTGGGTGAGTTTTAAGAGGTGGGAGGGTCAGAGAGACGCACTGTGCCATCACTGTCCACAAAACTGACACCCAAATTCTAGCTGCAAAGGCGAAGAAGAGCACACGTCAAAAGCCCCCCTGCCTCACCCCCCACATTCAGCCCTTTCCATCTTACTCTGAAGCACATGGTTTGTAATGCACCTCTTGTTTCCTGTAGCTGGTTCTAGAGGGGATGCAGAGCCACCCCACCTCCCTGCACATCCACCTGGTGGCCACAGCGTGCCTCTTTAATCTGACCACTCAGGACCTGGCAGAGGCCATGCCTGTCTGCCTGCTCACCTCCACCGTCACCCAGCTGCTGATCGCCATGGAGAGCTTCCCCAGCCACCAACAGGTCAGAGGACATGCTCAGTGTTTCACATTACAGGCCCATTTTCACATTTTGTAGTTTCACAACAGCACCAAGTGGCACTGTATGTCTCTCTTGCTACCACGTAACTGTCCTTCACCATATTGTGACCTTAGATTTTCTGCATTTTGTTACAACTCCCTATTTTTTATAACCTTCATTTCAACCCTTTTTGATAGCAGCCATACCTCTGTCAAAAAAGCAATCATACGCCTCTATCAACACATTCCTTATCATTTTCTTAAATACATCAATGGATATGATTCTAGATATGTCTCTTCATTTTCAATTCCCATGGTGCAACGTAGAACAATACATTCTTCCCCAGATCCTTCAAAACCCTTATCCCAGGAAAACACACTACAGGAAACGGGACACCCCAAGAAGCACAACAGGGCCTCTTTAATTTCCTGAGCATTTAAACCCCATTTTAAACTTAGCATAGTTGTTTTGTAATAACTGAATTGCAGTATGAAGTTATGCAAATCCTTTACCATGGAGGGAGCATGCATATAAATGATAGTATCATCAGCATAGAGGTTTATTTTGGATTGATTGTCTATTCCTTAACCTTCAGACAGTATTGAGTTACTTCATAATGCCTAATTCTTCTTCATATTTTCTTACACCCATGTGGTTTCCATTCCTCCAGGTGCAAAAGAACTGTCTTCTGGCGCTCTGCAGTGACTACATCCTTCAGGACATCCCTTTTGACAAGTTAGTTCATTTCCCTCCGTTATTATATGAGCCCACAGTTACGCAAGATAATCAGCGCTCTCAAAGAATGGCACTGTATTGTTTTTCCAGCTAAAATATATTTTGTCTTGAAATCTAATTGCCAAAAGAAATAGTTCCTCCAGATGTAAAAATGAAGACTTTAACTCAAATGTCTGCCCATATGTTTGTAATACTCTGTTCCTTATGTCCACAATGTGATCATGGCTCAGGTATTTTGCGGCCACGCTGGTGATTAACTGGCTGCGAAGCCACGAGGATCCCACCCTTCAGAGGATGGCGGTGGCTGTCATCTCCATTCTGGTGGCCAAGGTCAAGACACTGCTCACTTACTGTGCATTAGTCTGCGGCAGGGAAATAGTATAGCAGCTGTTAAGAGCCCTGTGCTCAGCCACCACCTGTACTTCTGCGAAAATAGTTCAAACAGCCAGCTTTCATTTAGTCCCTGTGTGATAAATATGTTCTACTGTGACATTTAGGAAAATATAGAATTAAATTTATTTATTGGTTTTATTTACAGTTGTCCACAGAGGAGACGGCTAAACTCGGCAAGGACGTCTTTATTATGAAGGTATATTAACACTTGCACACTTTAACGAGTCCCCAGCTTAGCACTTGATATGCACCAGTGTATTTCTAGTCTCCCCCTTTCTGTCTTTCTCACCCGCTCTATTTTCCATGACCTACCATGTACTCATTTGCTCACTGTCACCTCATTGCTCCATGCACTCACGGTTTGATGTTACCCCACTGTTCAATTACGCCACTCTGATTCTCTTTGTGTGTGTGTAATCACGCCTCTCTATACTTTATTTTTCGCTTATTGTATGTCCATTGTTGTTGTTTTTCTATTTGCATTTTAAGATATTAGTTGGTTACAGGGCATACATAATGAAATGAGATACAATTCAAACAAAAAAACATTGAATAACTAAATAACAATCCATAAATCTAAAAAATCTCAAGAAAGAAATAGAAAAAAAGGAGGGAAAAAAACAAAATAAAAACCTTTCTCTTTGACTTTGGGCTTTTTCCAAGTTATAATACATGTGGTTTCTTATTTAGAGAAATGCCAAAAATAAAATGTTCCCTTAATGATCCTCTTTTTATCTTGATTAGTTTATGTCCACTTGTTGATATGTTGTTTAGGTCAATACCACCACAAGATGTTGCCTCCATTTCTACAAAAGCATTCAGTTTCTTCCCCTTTTTAGCTTTTAAATGTCTCTTTCTATCGCTCCATTCCGTCTCATGTTTTCTCCGCTCATTTCCTCCATCCCACAGCAGCTGCTGGCTATAGTGCAGCAGAAAGCCATGGCGGGAGCGGTAGACTCCACTCTGAAGTTCGCCCTCAGCGCTCTGTGGAACCTGACGGACGAGATGCCCACCGCTGCTCGCAATTTTATCGAGTGCCAGGGCCTGGGGCTGTATGAGGAGGTTCTTGAGGTACAAGGGCTCCAGAAATACACGTTAATGCTCAAATGCACCCACCCACCCACCTACACACAGACACACACGCACGCACGCACGCACGCACGCACACGCACGCACGCACGCACGCACGCACGCACGCACACACACACGCACACACACACACACACACACACACACACACACAACATCTTTTCATGCTGTCCCTTTTTTGTGTTCCAGACTTACTACACTGAACCCTCCATTCAGCAGAAAGTTCTTGGCCTTCTGGTGAGTGTGTGTGTGTGTGTGTGTGTGTGTGTGTGCGTGCGTGCGTGCGTGCGTAAGATGACATGTATGACACACTGCTGCATGTTTTTGTTTTAATTTGATCTCGAGGGGTGTCTCAACCAAAGCATTAACAAGACAGTTTGGTGGTTTTGTGAAGTACAATTTCAAACTATGATAAAGTTAGTTAAATGTTCATTTTTGATAAGCTTAGCTTAGCCTAGCTTACACATGTTACAGGTCAACCAATGAAACAAAATGTAACCTTTACATTAATAAGGGATTTCTCTGGGTTTAAAGAAAGTTCAAAACTTTTGGGATGATGTAAGTACAAAACTCAACAAAATGTATAACATGAGTCTCTGTTTTTAGACATTTTAATGCAGAAATGTACCATGTTATAAACCAAAAGTTGTTTACAGCTTTTTGCAATCGTTCCCACATTCAGGATGTAATAATCAGGCAGCAGCTGAATTTGAGAGTTCTTTCAAATATTTACATATTGCTCAGAAATGTTTCAAATCATTTGAGAAATATGATTAAAATGAACTCCATGTGTTGGCAATCTGACATATTATAATTGCCGTCATCGTTTGTCTCTCTCTGTTGCAGAACAACATAGCCGAGGTGGAGGGGTTACAGGGGGACCTGATGGAGGAGGGCCTGCTGGAGCACATCCTCAGCCTGCTGCAGGACTCTGAGGTGGAGGTGGGGGTCCGTTACTTTGCGGGGGGGACTCTGGCACAGCTCGCCTCCAGACCTGAGGCCTGGACCCTGGGCGACGAGCTCCACAGCAACACCGTGAAGCAGCTGGTGTGTGTGAGAGAGGAGCGTTATAGGTGCTAGTCTACATTTCCCCTTTGGCTCTTGTTTAAAAGTGTATTTTCTTTTGTTCCAGCATGAATCGATAATGACATGGAACCAACTCGAGAGGGAAATGGTCTCTTACAGGTGACGAAACAGAAGCTTTTTAAAAGTGGAGTCTTTAAAGGATGCTTTCTTTGATGTTTACCCCTTCCTGTAGTGTGTTATATAGGTTTATGTGCATGTAAATGGTCTGCAAAGGCTAAAATCCTAACGTTCCCTACAGAGGGAGCTTCTCTCCCACACACTCCCCCCCCTGCCTGAAATGGCTCCATTGGACTCCTTTGTCTACTTACACGACATAGTGACATCACTATGTAACTCTTGCGCTTCTATTGGCTAGTGCAGGGGTCGGCAACCCGCGGCTCTCGAGCCGCATGCGGCTCTTTAAGCCCTCTACTCTGGCTCCCTTGAGCTTAGACAAAAATAAGAAGGAAATAAAATTAAAATATTTGTAGGACTATTTATATTTTGTTGCACGGTTGAAAATGTTTCGTATTTTGAGGTGATAATGTGACACAAAAATAAAACGTAATTAGGTCAACTAAAAATATGCGTCATATCCTGCGACGGTCACGCACCAGCGCCTTTTCTGGCAGGCGAATAACCTGACCCCCGGCTCGATGAGGGTTTAATTCTGCGTGGTTAGAGTTATATGCTTTCACAGTAAACGATGCTGGCTTACCGGTATGTTTGATTTGTGGAGAGAAGTTGTCAAAGGTGCTGCAGCCTTTACGTATTGGAGGAAGAACACGGGAGAGGAAGACTGCTGACGATCTTCAGTCATAATTCAGTCAGTTAACTCTTTTTAGGGTGCAGCTATATGTTTTATTTATTTCAAAGTGGGCCCATTTGAATTATATTCATTTTCTTCAAATGTGCAGAGGACTCCCCAAGTGCTGTGTTGATTTATTTTAAAGTAGGCCTGTGTATTTTTTTTAATTCTCCTTATAAGAGTTCTTTGTTTATTATTAGAGGTAAACAGTTTTCTATAATGTAATAAATAATAAATGCAAAAAAACTGTAGTTTTTGTCTATGATGTAACAATATTTATACAACTTTATAAGCTATCAAGCTATCAAATATGTTTAGCGGCTCCAGACAAAAAGAATTGGTGGAAAAGGGGGCAAAATGGCTCTTTTGGTCAAAAAGGTTGCAGACCCCTGGCTTAGTGCTTCAACACATTGTACTTGTTACGCTAAGGGGCGGGACATCTCTTCGTGGTTGACCAATCACAACAGAGCCGGTCAGCTGACCAATCAGAGCAGACTGGGCTCTGGTTTCAGACAGAGGGTGAAAAGAGGTGCTGCAGCACAGGCAGTATGAGAAAAATAAAGAGCTTTTTCAACATTAAAGCCTGGAGACATTTCACAGTAGAGACACTACATACAAATGTGAAATAATAATAATAACTTCAATTTATATAGCGCCTTTCAAGAAACCATAGGACGCTTTACAATAGAACGAGGGGCCGTGGGGGGGACACAAAGAAAACGGTCAAACAACAGGGAGAAAATAAGAAGATAAAAAAACGAAATAAACAAAGGTTGATCAATAAAAAAGGAAGAGGAGAGAGCTAACTGAGGCTGAAGGTCTTGACAAACAGATGTGTTTTGAGTGCTTTTTTGAAAATGTCCACAGAGTCAGCAGTCCTGATTTCAAGGGGGAGGGAGTTCCAGAGGGTTGGGGCTGCGACGCTGAAAATTAGCATTATAAGGCCCCTTTATTAAATCTCCTCATTCTGTCTATTCTATTTAACATCAACCTACATGTTGCATAACACTTTTTGTTGTCGTTTCCTATCAATAACACATCCTACATTCCCTCGACACTCTACCATTCCATTTGGTTGCTGATTTAGTGTTTTTTTAGAAGGGAATCTGGAATTTGCCACACAGACCATCACAAGAATGCCTTTTAAAATCTATTAAAAACACATTTCTATGACTGACACCTCAGTTTACATTCCCTCTTACCATCGATGCCAAAGAAAATAAACATTCCAGTTATTAAAGCATAAAACAAAACAAAGAAAAAAGGTTTTATCCCTGTGCTTTGTCTCCTTGTTTCCACATTTCAGGTCGTTCCGTCCATTTTGCCCTCTGCTTCAGACTTGGCAGCCCTCGGGGGTGCAGCTGTGGGCAGTGTGGGCCATACATCTGGTCTGCGGTCAGAATAGTAAGACACACAAACACCCTTCTGAGGGGGTATTTAGGGGGAGATTAACAACTGGGATTCACAGGGGTGGATTCATAGGGGTCAGCATATTTAGATACATGTGTCATACATAATGTGTTACAGTACTGGAGCTGCAATGATAATAAGAAACTTTACTTTACGTGGTAGTTTTTACTTGTAAACTAGAAAATAATCTATTGATTAAACAATGTTTAAAATAGTGGCTGCCCTTTATTGTATTTCATTATTTAAATATACCACACATGTGCACCATATGTAATATTCAATAGATTAATGCAGACTTCTCCGGAGTATTAATATTTGAGTGTAAGCGTGCTCAATCTGCCAATCCTCTCACATGTTATGATAACGTCTTCTCTCTATCCTCTAGCTTCACATTACAGGAGCATGATGGAGAAGGAGGGTGTGACTGAACTTCTGCGGGCTTTGGCTGCACATCCCGACACACACAGCGACATTAAAGAACTGTCAGACAGCATCCTGCTCATGGTGGATCAACAGCAGAATGGCTCGGCATCCACCAAGAACCACACAGAGCCTCAAAACTCTTGACAAAAGTGAAATATCATTTATTTTATTTATTGTTGAGGTTGAAGATAAAGAATTGAATCACATTGAAATTTTTCTGTCAGAAAAGTGTAATTTATATCAAAATCTTTATTTAAATTATTTAATTTTAAATTATTTTGCGGAGGAATAAAGTGTTTACATACGTGAAATTAATATGTTCACATTTCATTTGTAAAGTTAAGGGACAGAAAATCTTGTGTTTGGTAATATTGCATAAAATCCCACACCTGTCACTAGGGGGTGCTTTGGTACTGTAGCTTCAGGGCTTTCTGTCCCTAAGCTCTGTTTTTGTACAATATTTACTCAGCACATGATTAGACTTAAAATCAAACATGATTCCAAGCAAAATATTAAAGCCACCTGTTTATCTGTCTGTACCGAGTGCATCATTATAAAGCAGTCATGCTGGAAAACAAGTTATGTCTCTCTCCCGGTATCCTAGATGCTGAATTTATTTTAATTTTATATAACACAGCTGGAAGACAGAACCGCTTGTAGGCATCTACAGAGTCTATTCTAAGTTGCCCTATAAATAAATCCTTTTGAAAAGTGAATTAACAACCTCCCGTGAATATATGAGTTGTACCACAGTGTTAAAATGTCAAATCCCCTTTAATTGACATTTTTGAATCCCCTAGAGGATTTTGTGCTTGTGATTCAGCCAGGTTAGTCATCTTGTTGCCAGTGGTAGGCTATATAAGACAGAAAAAAAACGGCGTAAACTGATACAGGGTCAGCATTTAATCACCGCTTCACCATTAATGTCACAGAGGCAGTCCTGGGGGGTTAAAGGTCATGCGCCCCATAGCGAACATGGTGTGGTGTTACGGTAAGAAGTTCAAAGGCAAGAGAAGTGTGGGAAAATGCCACTGCTTTCCAGGCAACCCAGTCTCACGGCATTTAATCTATTGATTCGTGTTCACCAACACGATTTTCCCCCTTTTTTTTAAAAGCAATGTATTTCTATTGGTAGTATGTTTCGTGCCTGCACCACGTCTCTTTGTCCGGTCGGGTCTTGGAAGACCGGAAGCTGTGTGGTTCATAAAAACATGTTCTTACTCAATATCAAGCCACGATTATTGTTTTTATTTTAAATCGTATAATGTCAGACTTTCTTTGCCCGTGAGGAAAGGAAATGGGGCTCAGAGCCTCAGAATACTGAAATCTGTATTTTTTAAATCTTTTTTCGTTCTAATTTGTTATTATTTTCTAAATAACACACTGTTATTTACTCAACAATAACACACAATTATCCTTGTTTTTATTTATTTGTTTAATTCTATAATCTCTGGCTTTTTTGCCGTCCGTCAGGAAGTTAATTTCAAAATAAAGTAACAGGAAACAGGCGTAGGCCTATATGGGACATTTCGAGCATCATTGCGATACACACCAGTCTATGGTTGCAGTCGAATTGTCCAAAAATCAGCTCCTAACGTCTAACCCTATCGTCTATTCCTTGACCTCTGTGTGAAACGTCACAGGGTTAAGGGATAGTCGATAGGAGAATTCAAAAGGACTTAGGAGAAGAGACTGCGGTACTTTAGAGAATCCGACTGCACTTTCACTATCCGACGTGTTTATGATGCGTCAGCGGACGTCATAAATGTGCGTCTGCTGCTGTGGGGAAACTATGGAAACTACAGTTTTCTATACAGCGGACTACAACATGTAATAAGAACGATGGACTACTGTAAACTCATCTAGAGACTAGTCTCTCTGTGTGTAATGAGTTTACGAATTACACATATGATGTTTGTCAATCTTAAATAATAATTTCCATGTCAAAAAAGTCACAGTTTGTCGTAAAACTGTTGAAATATAAGACTATGAAAAATACGCAACTAGAAAGACTACGAATCCCGGTCCCGCATGCTGGCTCTTACGGAACCGACTAACTCCCCTTTTGTGTATGTACAGCTCTCAACATGCCCAGACTTGTAGTGATTTTCACCTCTTTTAATACTTTTCGCCTCATTCTGAAAGAAAGAAGTGAAATGTGCCAACGTGACGGCCGTCTTGGTGTGGTGCGAGACGGGAGATGTAGTTAATTGAGCGGTTTCACACAAAACAAAGTGTTACTTCACAGTTTTACGACACGTTTATTATTTTTTTTACTTGCAAAATTGTCTTTTAAATTGACAAACATCATATGTGTAATTTGTGGCACAATTCAAACGGGATCGAAAGATAATCTTTCTCTCGCCATTGACTTCAATACATACTTTTTCCGAAATAAGGTCCCATGGAGGTCCACCGGAAAGGGAGGGACTTCGGCTCTCTATAAAACCCACCCATTTAGAGGGAAGATATGATTGGTCAATTGTACTGTCAGTTGACATTACTCTCTCGTTCAGTTACTATATAGCCTTTCTTTTCCTCAACGGATGGCAAAAAAAGTCAGACATTATACAATTTAAAATTAAAAACAATAATCGTGGCTTGATATTGAGTAAGAACATGTTTTTATGAACCACACAGCTTCCGGTCTTCCAAGACCCGACCGGACAAAAATACGTGGTGCAGGCACGAAACATACTACCAATAGAAATACATTGCTTTTAAAATCGTTCTGTGTGACAAGAAAAAAAGGGGGAAATCGTGTTGGTGAACACGAATCAATAGATTAAATGTTGTGACTATAACACGAAATGCCGTGAGACTGGGTTGTTCCAGGGGCTGTTGGTTATACTGTAGCGTGCACGGTCACTGCATGCGGAAACAAACCTCGTAAGGAAGTGAACAGAAAAGATAAAAGTGGTGTTCATTGCCTTATTAGGTTTGTGGTTTCAAGAGCCCATAAATAATCAAGTGACACACGAGAAAGCGGCAGGAAGAAAGACTATCAAATAACTAGGAAATAATTGTAAGAGTAGTGTGAAATTAGCTTATTGCCCGAGATATCAAGTAGAAGATTAATACTACTGTCAGGTCTGTGCTCTATATATAAAGTTACAGCCAGCAGCTAGATAGCTTAGCTTAGCATTTGGACTCGAACTGTTGGGCGCTAACAAAGTCTGGTTAGCATTACTAGCATTAAAGCTCATACAAATAAACATGTTTGATCTTTACAGAAACCACAATTTGGGGAGGTAATTTTTCGGATGCTAGCAACTGTTTTCGGTAGAGAAATACGCACAATTATATATAATTAATATTTTGAAGCATTAAAAAGCTTTGACAAAAAATCCATAAAAAAATGTCATCTGTGGAAGCCGTAATACTGTAAAAAGCACGACCAATCATTTTAGCCGGCCCGGCTAAAATAACTGGATGGCCTACCTGCCTGTCAGCCTTCCATCTGTGCACAAACTTATCTCGTGCCCTCATTGGTCATGTGTGTGTTGGAGGAGGGGCTCTGTAAGGAAGAGGCAGATTTTTTCCGGTTGTGTATTTTCAAATTCTAGCGCACTCGAGCTGGTTTCTCCAAAATTACCTACCCCACCTTTAATGACAGGAGCACATTAACACTAGACCCAAAAGAAGGGTTAATGCATGTCAGACTACATACACCTTGTAAAAGTTCAATGTGGTGTTTAAAATACGTTCTTTACATGCATTTTCTATGGACTCAACATAAAAATATAAGCCATAGCTGTTTTCATGTGTTTCATGTCTTTATGCTAAGCTAATCCGCTTGCTGTAGCTTCATATTTAGAAAACAGACATGAAAGTGGTATCAATATTGAGCAACAACGCAAATAAGCACCTCTCCTAAAAAGTCAAACAATTCATTTCAGAATGCAGAAGCAAAGACAGAAATAGGTATGTTGACAGGTGCAAAATAGGATTTATGGACAAAAATATCACAAGTTAAATAAAGCATTGGAGGGATAAAACTGGAGATGAGAGGAGCGAAGTAAGTCATAGGAAAATTAAAGACCCTTTCATGCTCCACGATAGTTTGAGCAAAAATACCCTGGACCAATATGCAGATCCCTGTCTCAGTTTGAAATATCATTGTGCTGTTTTGAATTGGAGCTTAGTGTGAGTAAGCATCTCGTTATCTCACTTTTGCAGACAGCTCTATTGGATTACCATAATCGTGAACCAGTCTGGGCACCCAGAATACACTAACGTACAATGCATTTCAGTTGTGTGTGTGTGTTTGCTTGATCCCTTGTGGGGGGGAGTTTGCATTTGTGCAGTTATACCTGTATCTGTGAGCTAACAAGGACCCAATAAAGACCATACGTCTTTGACTTGGATGCTAATAGACACCAGCTACCCTTCTAAATACCCAGAGAGCAAAAGAGGAAGAAAATACATTCAACGAGCATGAAGAGAGGTCAAGCAAGAAGAAAAACAAACCAATTGTGACGCACAAAAGGACATAACATCGTCTCTCAAATGACCTTTTATTGCTGGTGAAGGATACAGAGTTGGCAGGCCCCTGAGCCTGTGTGTAGAAATGCAACAGCTGTTGCAACAGGAGCGTCCTTCTCTCTGCGGAGTGGATGCAGGGGCTTACTCTTCACCATCAATCAATAGCCACTTTTGCAGAGGAGGGTTTAGCAGAGTGTGTCAATGTCTAGTCCAAAAAATGGACATACAGTATGCAACATAGATACATTATTTCTGGTTATAATGTAATATGATAATGATGGACATGGTGAGGGAAATAAAACTGGAGAAAACCAATGCAAATTCTTTCATGAAAATAAGGCAATTTCCCTACTTCCTGTCCCTCTTTCTGTGCTTTAGTGTGGGCAAAACCAGGAGATTATACATGATATGTTTACAAATTGTAAGCATAGGAAATATTTTTAACTTAATAATAACTTGCAGCCGTTTCTGTTCCAGCTTTTTGAGGTTGGATTTGGCTGACAGTAATTTGGTGCTGTCATCCATATGTGGCAGGGATTAATGATGACATTTTCTTGCAATAACTGAAACCCAGGCTGCCTTTTTCCTAGCACTAGTGTCTGAAAAACATGTCCCATATTTCTAACTTTGGTGTAAGTAATACCACTGCTCTGTGACGAAAGGATTTTCATCCTATTTTGTGTGTCTGTGGGAACGAGCGTGTTTGGTAGTAGATGTTTCAGAAGGCTATTATGGTCCGTTAGTTCCGCTCTCACTTCATGTCACATATCCAATCTGCGGGCCTTTTACAGTTTGCCTTCGTCCCATCAGATGCACACAATGATGCAAACATCCACAGGCAGGAAACACACCTGCAAAAGCTTCTGCCAGTAGCTGTGTGAATGTCCTTGTTTATTCACCAAACTGGTTGACAGTCAGAGATGTGATGTTAATGTGACCCAACCAGCTGAGTTCATCTCTGTCCTGAAGCTCATCCTGACCACTGCCTCAGCATGGCTGGTAAGTGATGGGAAACAGAGAAGTGAACACACATCCATTCTCAGGCACAACGATATCTCCATTAGAACCACTGTATTTCAACTTCAAACAATAGCATTACATTTTGGGAAATATGTTTTCTTGCCAAGAGTGAGATTTCTGACAACCTTTTGCTAGAGCAAGCTAGATGTTTCCAGTCTTTATGCTATGCTAAGCTAACTCGCTGCTAGATTTGGCTTCATAACATTTCAACTTCAATGGAACAAGGAATACTACAATGCAACGCTATGCTTCTTTGTTGAAGCAAAACAAAATACAGTTGGGTGACTGCTAGCCATTTCCTTTGGCTTTTAGGATTTTAGCTTAGCTAATAAGCTACTGGCTGAAGCTTCAGAAGTACAGGCATCAAAGTGGTATCAAACGTCTCACCTTGGTCTCTGCATTAAAGCTAACAAGCATTCATCCCAAAATGTGTAACTTTTTTTAATTGAATTTGTTTTAGTTTTGATGTAAGAAGGTGCAGTTCTCGTTTGTGTTGGTAGCGTTAGTGAGTACAGATCATTTATTTTCAAAGCTTTTACAGAGTAAAATGGAGTCAGAGGTGACTGGTGTTGCAGTCCATTATGGAGGCAGAACTGATGCTTTTGTCTCATGCATGCTTGTGCCTTAATATGTTCTGTATTTGCAGTGTGGGTGTGTCGAAAGTGCAAATCCATTTAGTATATTATTCAGCTGATATACTGTAGGCCTACAATACCACCAAGTGCCCATATGGAAACAAAAACTGTCAATAGTGAGAGTCTTCAGAGCCAAGTGTTTGCTTGCATGGTACACAAGAACTATGCACATGTTTATTACTTGGCATTCCATCTTCCTCACTGTGCTGACATGTACAGTATTAGGGCAGCCAGCTCTCCAATTTCCTGGCCGCACCCTTGCCCTTGCCTATGGCATCACATGGCCTAATCAGTGAGCTTAGCAGAATGTAATGCACCCTCACAGTTGAGACTATATATGCATGTGTTGGATGTAGATAAATGAGGGTTCACTACACAAATCTCAGTAGACATGCAGATTAATCAATATATTTTACTGAATGAAGCCATGCAAAAGTTACACCCAATGCCCAAAATCCAACTCGCCACCATATGGCCAACTCGCCACCCTCCCTCTGGAACTCACTCCCACAACCCATCAGAGACTGACCTCACCACCTTCAAAAAACTTACAAAAACTCACCTCTTCAATCTGGCTTTTAATGTGTGATTGTTTTTGTATTATTTGACTTTAACTATATATATTTATTTGTTGTTCTTTTCTTTTCACTATATCTGTAAAGCGTCTTTGAGCACCTGTAAAAGCGCTAACAAAATACATCTATTATATTATTATTATTATTATTATATGTTCAGAGGTATCTCAGCACACGGCAACTAACATGTACAGTAGATCGGTCACTATCTTGGATTGACACTTTGGCATCCAATTACGTATGTCCTGCCAATAAGTGTGCTTAGGATGGTTCATGCAATGCATACTGCCATGAATCAAGATCACTCCCTTATATGACGAGGGAGTGCAATCAAACAGAGACATACCCACACTCCTGACTGTATGCTGACATACATCAGCAGTGTATTGGAAAATGGTTTACCCTTTACAGGAACAACTTCACAATAGACATTTATCAGCAAATATCTGGACCTTTCATTGCAGGAGCAGCACGGGCATGTGCAGAAAATGAGACAATGGGCCCCTGGGCACAGGCATGCACCGTCCTCACCATTTCTCTTACATAAGAGCAAGACAACAACGTTATAGTGGATAATTAGTGCCTTTTGGCTTTTTGTTGTGTTTCTTTGTGGTTTTTATATATATTCATGTCAATTTGTCTGTCTGAAGTCAGTTTGTGTCTCTTTATAGTAGTTTTGTGTCCCTTTGTTGTCCTTGTGTGTCTCTGTGTAGTTATTTTGTGTGTCTTTGTAGTTCTTTTGTGTCTCTTTTTTGTAATTTTGTGTCACGATCTTTTTTAAGTAGTTTTGTGTCTCTTTGTAATCATTTTGTATTTTTTTGGCAACTTGGCTTGCCCCTGTGCCCGGGCGACCTGTTCAGTGAGAACAGGTGAAATGAATACCTTAAATGATGCATGAGACCAGGGCCCTGAAACCTGAGCATCTATATGGAATTCGACCATCAATCATTTTATTGATTACACCTGTTATTTTTGGGAAATTATAGATCAAATGGTTTGAAAAGGGTCTATAATGAGTAAAGCACATAATTAACTTTGCGTTTGACGCTGACACTCAACCACCCAAAACCAGCATGCTTAGTATGTTGTTATATCGTTAATACCAATAACTTTGTATATGAAATTGATTCTGGACAAATCCCGCTAATATGCATACAGTACGAGTGCCAGTAAATGTGTGAAAAAAAGCTTTTTTCGGTGGTATTGCAGATCACATTAAAGAAAGACAACAGATTGTGTGGAGTCAGAGTTCACATGAACCATTATCATTATTAGCATAAGGCCAAAATAATAGCCGTTTTTAACAGACATTTCAAATTTGTAAATTAACTGCATAGGGGATGCCAATCACAATAACGAAGGCTCACAAAACATTTAAGTGTCCCAGTGAGCCGTGGCATTGTGGCATTAAACCAGCATGCACAATACCCTGAAATTGAAGAAGCTAAATGGAATTCGGCCGTCATTTATTTTATTAGCTACACCTGTGCTTTTCTCACTGATGTCAAGATGCCCTCTGTGAAAATTACGAGTAACCTATATTTTCATACATTCAATCATCTGTACACTTTCATAATAAAACTTTAATAAAATGTGCACAACATAAAATGAGCGGAAAACAGCTGGTTCAAACATTGTGGAAGGATACCCTTCTTCTCAGATACCTTATAAGTCCATTTTGTTCCTAAATCAGGTATAATGATAATATATTCCGAGACACAACTGATTGTACAGATACAGCACACATACATTGGAGCAGCTATTTGTTCCCCCAGTAAAACAAGGACTCCTCATCCTGCCCCTTCCTTTATAACAGTTAATAACAGTCGAGTCAGGGGAAATGAAGTGGTACAGACAGTAGAATTAGTCTCAAATGTTAACACTTCAGAGTATCCTTTTTTGTTCTTTAATGATTGAATTAGAGCTTGTACACACCTCGTAAGGCTTTTTGGTGCATCAACAGTGCATGCAGAAACAGAGACGACACTGCACTCAAACCAGTCAGCCAACAAAGAGAGAATGAAGTGGAAATCAATTATCACACTCTCCTGTTTACTTGCCATCTAGCGGGGCCCACTGCCAAACCAGACCTCAGCAGTTGGCTCATGCTGTCTGTCAACTTCACAAACAGATCTTCAACACAAATGCCTCAACTACAGTTTTTTTCAGAGTAGATGAGAGAGGTAAACCATCAGTTCAGAACTGCAGCCCACTGGACCAATAACGGAAAGGCTCAGTTCTGCAAAAGCTCAATCAAACATGCACGATACACATTAGTGTGTACATCATTGTGCACAAATGTATTCATTTACACACAAATGTATGCCTTTACACACGAATGTATTCCTTTACACACGAATGCTTCTCCTCAAACATATGAGTAGAAAGATCACATCACATAAAATGTCACATATGGGGTTGTAAAGTCACAATTCTCTTGTTGCCATTATCGAGGTCCACTGGAGATTATTTTTGAATATCTTTACGGTATAAGGGATTAGCTAGGGTCTAGAAATAGATTGTCATAAACTTTTGTCTGGTGTTTCCACCCAATTTGTAACGTTGTAGATATAAACAAATTGTACAACATTGACATTCTTGATTTTAAGTAGCTGAAAATATCATGGTCAGAGCTAGTCTTTGATGATTACTGTCAGGGGCGGTTCTAGGGGGGGGGGGGGCAGTGCCCCCGTAACACTGACTTTGGACCCCCCTGTGGCCCCCCTGAAAATGAAAGTTTATGATTAAATGATTTATTGGCTGACGGAATGGCGGAACTAACGTTATTTGTCATTCTAGTTGGACCCATTAGAGCGTAAAAACTGTAACTACATTATAAGTATCTGAAATAAACATGTGTACCAATAACTGTATTGCATTGTTTTCTTATGCGCATTTACTTCATACTGTCTTTGTCTTTTTCGTCCTGCATTTATTGTGCCCCTCTCAGAAAATAACTGGCCCCAGCCTGGCCCCCCCCAGTCAAATTGGTCTAGAACCGCCACTGATTACTGTTGTTCTTCGATGGGTAGCTAGACCAAGGTGGTGTTTTTTGTTTAAAACATTTTGGGCTTTCTCGACAAGAGTTAGGTCAGATGATTGATACCACTTCCATTTGTTCTTTGAATTTGAACCTATAGCCTGCAGCCGGTAAGCTTAGCTTTGCACAATGTCCTGAAAGAGCGGGAAACCGCTAGCTTAGCTCTGTTAAAAAGGTAACAAAATACAACTACTAGCACCTCTGAAACTGTAAACAAGTATCTTGTTTTTTGAGTTCTCTGATCAAACTCAGTGTGTCTCCAATGCTGTTCAACATCCGTCTGGAAAGGCTGCTAGCTAACTAGCATTGTTGCTTTGCCTTTTCCTCTGTTAAATTAAGATCATCTGATGACTAAAATCCTTTAACTGGTAACATATAGTTAAAAACGATCAAAAGTCAACTGATGAGAGAAAGGTGAGTGGTACTAATCTTCTCTGACTCTTAGCAACAAAGCTAAAGCATTCGGTCACAGTCAGACCAGCTAGCTGCTTCCAAGATAACCAGCTTATTGGCTTATCCCTGTAAAAAATTACAAAGTAATAAATAAATACTACATAGTCATACATTTGCATATGCGGTCAGTAATAACCAGGGCCTAGAGAGCTCCACAATGGCAGCCAGAGTGTGTTACATCACCCGAAAGCCCACTCCAAATGTGAAGAATGACATTCTGATTCTCTGTTGAATCCTCTCTTCTCTTTCAGGGCTGAGCCTGTTAAACAGACTCAGTTTGACTGAAGTGTAATAAAACTTCACATACAGTCCTGGAAGTAGTCACGAGGCACTGTGGGAAATCCTAAATGGGAAGAGTGGGAATAAATGTTTTAAACAGTATGTGACATTTTCAAATTCCCGTTGCCATGGTCTCTCCTGTCACCGAGTTCTTCCTCATCTTCCGGGTCCAGCTGCTCCTCTTTTTTCTTGATGTAGCGCTCATAGAGCACCATAATGACGCCCATCACCCAGGCCGACACGGTGCCAGCAGCAAAGATGACAAAGCCGATGACAACAAAGAAAAGGTAGTCCCAGGAGCCCAGGGTCTGGTGACATAACGTCCGTAGCTGGATGCCCACCTCACCAAGACGACGGCCCTGCATGTCAGCAGGTGAGCTGCACACCGTCTGGCCCTCATCTGTCAAACAGAAACACATCAAGGAGGAATGATTAGGGACTCATCATGGCTCAAAAAAGTACATCAACATATTTGGTTTGGAAATACAATGCTTGTTCTGGAATACATGAGACAAATTTGTATTTTTCTATAATGGCTTTATATCATTTTAAGTCCACACACAACTGCACATTATTTCTATAAAGTATATAGGTTTTTTCTTCAGTATAGCATGACAACACATGCTTAATTCATTTTTAAGCCCCTCAAGAGTTGGTTCAAAATAGTAACTATTTCTATATATCTTTTAATATTCCGATGTATCTTTAAACAGTTTGTATGTTTTCCTCAATTTTTGTGCGCTCATATGAATGTCCAGCGACAGGTGTCAATTCAGCTTGTTACATGCACACGATCTTGGGAGTCATGTATTGGCAACAAAACTACTTGGTTAGGTTTGGAAAAAGATCCAGGTCTGAGTTAAAGCATTTATAGAAGTGGCATTACTTTAGTACAAAAGTCATGTGATAGAGGTCTCCTGGGTCAAAGTCCAGCCAATAAACCAACCCATCCACCCCAACCTCCTAGCCTGAATAATTCCACCTAAATAAGCAACAGACAAAATCTAAGTGTGGGAATCCTTAGTTATATTTTGTTAAGAATGTAATACTCAAAAGCTATTCAATTCATTGGGTCTTTAATTGACACTGACAGCAACATAGCCCAATTGGTTTTGCCCCGCCCATTTTTAACTAGTTAAACAAACAAAGAACAAATACACAAGTACATAATTCTTTCATGTGAAATACTGAGAACTACGGAGCCCCTAAACCTAAAGGTTCATGGAGAGAAAAAAAAAGTATCTTGTGCGCACGATATACTTTCTCGTTCGCACAAAATAATATTTTGTGCGAACGAGAAAGTATTTAGTTAGTTTCTCGTTCGCACGAGAAAGTTACCGGTGCGCCAAGTAGGAAGTGGAGCACAGAGGAGACAAACGTTTCATTGCAGACTGTTATGTTTATGTGGAGAAATGGCAGTGCATACATTATTTGAGATATATTTGAAACTTGGACTTCATTTAGGGACATTTTAGCCAGGGGTTTAGAGCTATTTGTTTAAGCACCGGATTCGCAAAACAGAAGAGTCTGTGAACCAGTCTGCTTTGATCTATGAATTCCTGTCCGTGACTCTCACAGTATCTGCTGCCCACAGCTGTTTTATAGAAGCAAAACCTCCTTCACTTTATGAAATCTCTGCGGCACCAGTGGCCTGTACTACGAGGCAGGATTTGCTATTTACTATTCATTCATGAAGTATGACGCTGCGCTGTCAGCACGCTTCTCCATGTTTGTGATTGGTCAAATGTTGCTAACCCCGTCCCTTTCACGTGAACGCGCTCTCAGCCGGACAGAGAAACCCTGGTTGATTCATGCCCTTTTCACACCAAGGCTTTTCCCGTTCCAGCTCCGTGCTAGAGCTTTTCTGGTTCGGAACCGGTTCTTTGGTTCAGCTCCCGCTCTGTTCACACCACTCAGAGCCCGACTGGTGCTGCGTCATTGCGTCATCGTTTGCGTCATGACGTAACCGTTTGCGTGCCTGCTTCATAAAGCCAAACCGCGCGGAAACCCCTCACATCGACAACAACAACAATGGCCGATTGTATTGAAGCGCTACTCGTTTTGGTTTTGCTCTGTCGAAACGAAATGGAAGAAATGGGACGACTTTACTACCAACTTTACAGTCGTTACATGCTACATTCAAAAGTTCTTTACAATCATCATCATCAACTTCAACGACGATTCCGTAGGAGAAAGAAGGTAAATATACGTCCTATTCGAGAGCTAGCTGTTAGCCTCTGCATGCGCCAAGCTCAAAATACCCAGCTTTGCAGCATTAATTACTATGGTATAACATTACAACTGATGCCCCTGTCCCCGCCTCCGACGTAAGCGTGACGTACTGTATGCGGTGCTTGCTTTCTAGACCGACAACTTTTTGGTGCTTGAAACGAACCGGATTCCGGAGCTTAGAGTGTGAACAGGAAAAACCAGTGCATTTCAAGCTCCAGCTCCGAACCGGCCCTGGAACCGTGTTGGTGTGAAAGGGGCATTACTGAGTTGATAACCAGCTTCGTAGGACCGCTTAGCGAGATCGCGTTTGTTAGGGTTAGTTAAGCCGGGTAAATCAAACATATCCAGGGTCTGTTGAACTGGCTTCGTCGTACAGGGCACTGGAGGCAGTAACGTGTAACTCAGCAGAATCTGAGAAGAACAGCACCAGCTGCAAAGAGTTGTGCCTTTTACTGTTTACTTCACTGTGTTTCCCTTCATTAGAACAGCTGAATAGAGATCAAGGCTGCTACGTTTAACCACACACACCTCTACACACATCGAACTACCAGAGTATTCCCCCTATTACTCGTTTTATGAAGGAGATGTCCGGTCACCAGGGCGCATGATGTGTGTGTGTTTGTGCTCAGCTCCGCTCTGTGTGTGTGTGTTCGGTGTGTTTGTGTGTGTCCGACACCACCGGCATTTGTTTTCAAATTACCACGAACAGTAATTTACACAAATCTGTGTCTCCATAGTTATATGTGTATTCCCAAGTGAAACAAATTAGTTTAATCTTAATCTCGATGTAGTGCTATAGTCCTGCCGGAGTGCACCGGAACGAACAACACTATCATAAATAAATGCCCACACACACACACACACGCACACACGCACACGCCCTGGCTGGCGACCGGACATATTCTTCATAAAACTAATAATATGGCGTAATAATCGGGCAGTTCGATGTGTTTTACCATAAGAAAGTATCTCGTGCAAACGAGAAAGTATCTTGTGCGAACGAGAAAGTATCTTGTGCGAACGAGAAAGTATATCGTGCGCACAAATTAATAAAGCGTGGCCTCGTTTTATTTAAATTGAGGCTACGAATTACATCTCGTGCGCACAAGTTAATAAAGCGTTTTATTTATTTTTCTCTCTATGAACCCTCCAGGGCTCTGTAGAGAACTGTTTAAATGTTGGAACAAATGTATTATTCATAAAGGACCCCGTCACTCAGAGTAAGAAGATAAATATATTTTCAGGACCTTTAAAGTGCATTTATCAGCGTGCCAGACCAGATTGAAAGTTTTAGCTGATAGGGAAGATGAGTAGAAGTACTGACCTAGAATAAATATTTTGTCTAAAGAACAATAATTATGAGAGAGGGGTCGATTTACAACCCAGTCTCACGGCATTTCGTGTTATAGTCACGACATTTAATCTATTGAATCGTGTTCACCGACATGATTTCCCCCTTTTTTTCGTGTCACACAGAACGATTTTAAAAGCAATGTATTTCTATTGGTAGTATGTTTCGTGCCTGCACCACGTCTTTTTGTCCGGTCGGGTCTTGGAAGACCAGAAGCTGTGTGGTTCATAAAAACATGTTCTTACTCAATATCAAGCCACGATTATTGTTTTTATTTTAATGTCTGACTTTTTTTGCCGTCCGTGAGGAAAAGAAATGGGGCTCAGAATACTGAAATCTGTATTTTTTAAATCTTTTTTTCCTTCTAATTTGTTATGCTTTTCTAAATAACACACTGTTATTTACTCAACAATAACACACAATTATCCTTGTTTTTATTTATTTGTTTAATTCTATAATCTCTGGCTTTTTTGCCATCCGTCAGGAACTGAATTTCAAAATAAAATAACCGGAAACAGATACACACCCACTGAACTGATTACCCAAGATCCTCAGCTATGGTTGAAGCTCGGTGATTGGATGGTTTAGCCGCAATGCACGTTGGGATATGGTGTTAATGCGATATCAAATTCGAAAAACTTTTCAAAAAAAGAAAATAATACTTTATTCCGAGTGTGCTTGCTTTTCTCTTTGGAAGTCATCACATAAACGCATTGTAATACACGGTTCGGCTGCATTGAATATTACACATCTGCCGTAGTTATTTATTTATAGAGCCCTGATGAGAAGACCTTTGGACAAACTGGAAGAACTGCCACGGAAACTGAATACGTGACGTGGATCATAAATATATCAGCAATTAAACAACATCTTCAATTTCTCTTCACACAATACGTCTCATTGCAGTATCAACATTAATTCGGCTGACTTTTATATTTGATCCAATTGGTAGATTATATTTACACCATAACGGTGCACAGCTGATAGAAAAGGACTTGTAGTTTTTAAAGATATTACTGATTTTCTTTGAATATAAGAATTTAAATACTGAGTTGAAAGAATAGTCAGGGGTTTTGGGTGATAATAATAATAATAATAATAGATTTATTTTGTTAGCGCTTTTACAGGTGCTCAAAGACGCTTTACAGATATAGTGAAAAGAACAACAAATAAATATATATAGTTAAAGTTAAAGTCAAATAATACAAAAACAATCACACATTAAAAGCCAGATTGAAGAGGTGAGTTTTTGTGAGTTTTTTGAAGGTGGTGAGGTCAGTGCAGTCTCTGATGGGTTGTGGGAGTGAGTTCCAGAGGGAGGGGGCAGCGACAGAGAAGGCTCTGTCCCCCCAGGTCCGGTGATTGATGCGGGTCGGGATGGATAGGAGGTTGGCTTCTGATGAGCGGAGGCAGCGGGAAGGGGTGTGGTGGTGCAGCAGGTCTGTGAGGTAGGGGGGGGCTGGTTGTTGAGGGCTTTGTGAGTAATCAGGAGGACTTTGAAGTCGATGCTTTGACGGACGGGGAGCCAGTGGAGGTTCTGGAGGACAGGAGTGATGTGGTCTCGGGAGCGGGTGTGGGTGAGGAGGCGGGCAGCAGAGTTCTGGATATGTTGGAGTTTATTGAGGAGGTTGGATGGTATGCCGTAGAGGATGCTATTGCAGTAGTCGAGTCGTGATGTGATGAATGCATGAATCAGGGTTTCAGCAGCAGAGGAGGAGAGTGATGGGCGGACACGGGCAATGTTTTTGAGGTGGAAAAAGGCGGTGCTGGGGCCTCATTTATAATTACTTGCGTAGGATTCACGTGGGAAGGTTGCT